CACCACCACCACCACCACCACCACCACCACCACCACCACCACTTCCACTACCACTTCCAAAATCCTCTCCACTGCCTTATTCAACTCACACATACATGAAAAAAAAGTTATGATTGACAAGTAGTTGGCGTGGTGTGGCCTGTGCAGAAACTGGTAATCCTGGTGAGGCAGAGCATGTTGGTTCCCATTGCAACAAGATTCAACAGTTTGCATCAAACAGTCATTAAGAGTAGTTTGTTTTGTGGTAAGAATCAGTATTTTAGTGGTTGTGTGTTCTGTTTGTCAAAAACATAGCTGGTATATTATTAGAACAGAGTAAACATTAAATTTTAGTGAGATTGAGAAAAATGTCACATTTAAAAAATGGTGCAGCAAGTGTATGGAGAAGCATTAGTGCAAGTTAGTGATTTCAAGATGGGAGGGAAGACAGAGACAATCAAACTTCTGGCCATCCAGCAAATTTAAGAACTGATCCAAGTGTGTAGAAAGTAAGAGTGAGAAATGAACATAGTTGAACTCAGAGAATGTAACAACACTGAACAGGAGTAGAGAATTAGCGTCCATTGTTTTTCTTCCATCAAAATTGCAACACTTTTACATTCTACACTTCAACACTACATGTTTCGGCCTCAAACAGCCATTTCACAGAATCAGGAGTAGAGAAACTGGAATAAGTTTTCAGCGAGAGATATAATCATGACAGAAACCTGTTCAAAAATCTGAACAGCAAGCAAGAAATTTCTTTACACAGAGATTCATGGAAGAACCTTTCCTTTAAAATAAATAAATAGTGACTAGTAATAACATGACAACCAGAAGAACTCAGAGTCAAAACTTCAAAGTCTAGAAGACTAAAAGAAGTGTAAATGTCAAAAGTGTGTTGATCTGCCTTCTTTATCAGAGGAATTATCCATTGCAAATTTGTTCTCCCTGAACACTCATCCACACATTCTACCTTCACGTTCTTCAAATTTACAGCAGTGCCTTAATAAAAAAATATAAGATCTTCAGCCAGACAAGTCAGTTTTACATCATAACATGTCCTCCCACACAGCACCAGTACAGTGTTGGAATGTCACTGTACTCACACAATCAGTCCATTTGTGACTTCATGTCTTCAACTGAAAGTTTCCTTGAAATTGTCTCATTCTGAATTAACTTAAGATATTCACACAAATTTGATGACAGTACTAAAATTACTTTCACAGATGGATTTGAAGCAAAGCTTCATGTATAAAGTTAGAGGGTAGGTATGGTCATGATCACAGTCAATAAATGCAGTTAAGAGGGTAGAGTTCATTAGTGATACGATAGCATATATAATACTAAAAGGTCACTGGTGTGATATTGTTATGAATGTTCATGCCCCAACAGAAAATAAAAGCAATGACATAAAGGACAGATTCTATGAAGAACTAGAACATTTATTTGATAAATTCCCGAAGTACCCTATGAAAATTTTGTTAGGGGATTTCAATGCCAAAGTAGGGAGGGAAGACATTTTCAAACCAATGATTGGGAATGAGAGATTGCATGAAATTAGTAATGATAATGGTGTCAGAGTAATAAACTTTGTCACATCAAAAAATTTTACTGTCAAAAAGTACAATGTTCCCACATCGTAACATCCATTAATTTACTTGGACATCTCCTGATGGGAAGATACACAATTAAATAGACCATATCTTGATAGATAAGAGACTGTACTCAAGTATACTTGATGTCCGATCATTCAAGGTAGCAGATTGTGAAACCGACCACTACCTGGTGGTGGCAAAGTTTAGGGAAAACTGGCAGTGAGCAGACAAACAACACACAGATTTCATACGGAGAGGTTCAATCTCAAGAAAATAAATGAGGTAGAGGGTAAAGAGCAGTATTGTGTTGAAATCTCAAATAGGTTCGCTGCTATGGAAAACTTGGAAACTGAGGTGGATGTTAATAAAGCTTGGGAAACTGTTAGAGAGAATATCAAAATGTCTGCCAAAGAGAGTCTATGTTATTATGAACCGAAGAAGCATAAGCCATGGTTCGATGAAGGGTGCTCAAATTATTAGATCAAAGAAAGCAGGACAAATTGCAATGATTACATGATCCAAGCGAGTTAAATGGGGATAATCTGAACAATATAAGACGTGAAACCAGCAGGCATTTCAGGAACAAAAAGAGGGAATATCTAAAGGAAAAAATTGATGAGCTTGTAATGAACAGTAAGAACAAGAACATTAGACAGCTGTATAGAGGAATAAATGACTTTAAGAGGTTACCAACCCAGCAGTAACTTAGTGAAGGATGAGAATGGTGATCTGCTTGCAGATTCCCACAATATTTTGAATAGGTAGAGGAACTACTTCATTCAGTTACTGAATGTACACAGGGTCAGTGATGTTAGGCAGACAGAAATTCATACAGCTGAGCCGTTCGTACCTGATCCTAGCCCTTTTGAGGTTGAAAGTGCTATTGCAAAACTGAAACGGTATAAATCACCAGGTAGTGATCAAATTCCAGGAAAACTTCTTCAAGCAGGAGGTGAAATATTACATTCTAAGGTCCACAATCTAATTACTTCTATTTTGCATAAGGAAAAATTACCTGATCAGTGGGAGGAGTCTATTATTGTAGCAGTTCACAAGAAGGGTGATAAAACTGACTGTAGTAATTATAGGGGGATATCATTGCTATCAACTTGATACAAAATTTTATCCAATATTCTTCTCTCAAGGTTAAGTCCATATATAGATGAAATTATTGGGAATTATCAGTGTGGGTGTCAATGTAACAGATCAACTGCAGATCAGATCCTTTGCATTCATCAGATATTGGAGACAAAATGGGCATATAATGAGACAGTACATAAGCTATTCATAGACTTCAAGAAAGCCTATGATTCAGTTAGGAGGGATGTATTGTACAATATTCTGATAGAGTTTTGGATACCCATGAAACTATCCAGGCTGATTAAAATGTGTTTAAACGAAACGTTTAATAAAGTCCGTGTAGATAAACATTTCCTATCCAAAATGGTCTAAAACAAGGAGAAGCTTCATCGCCACTCCCTTTCAACTTTGCTTTAGAATATGCCAATAGGAAGGTCCAAGGAAACCAGGTGGGACTGAAATTAAATGGGACACATCAGCTGTTTGTCTATGCCAATGATGTGAATCTACTGGGTGATAATGTAGATACCATAAAGAAAAAAAAACAAACTTTAATTGTCGCAAGTAAAGAGGTTGGTCTAGAAGTAAACACTGAGGAAACTAAGTATATGTTGCTGTCTCATCACCAAAATGCAGGGCGAAATCGTGACATAAAGACAGGAAACATGTTTTCAAAATGTGCCACATTTCAGGTATTTGGGAACAATGATTCAGGAGGAAATTAAGAAGAGATTGAACTCGGGTAATGCTTGCTAGCATTCAGTCCAGAACCTTTTGTCTTCTCACCTGCTGTCCAAAAAAATAGAAATTAGATTATACAAAACTATAATTTTGCCTGTGGTTCTGTATGGGTGTGAAACTTGGTCTCTGACATTAAGGGAGGAACATAGACTGAGGGTATTTGAGAACAGAGAGTTGAGGAAAATATTTGGACTGAAGAGAAATGATGTGGAAGGCATCACACACCATCAGTGTGTCCATTTCTGTTGATGTCCAGGAGTGACCGCCCTACAGCATGAATAATATCCTCCCTTATGTTGTAACATGTCCCTTGAAGTGGTTCTTTAATTTTGGCAAAGAGATCATAATCGCACAGACTCATATCGGGTATGGCGGATGTTGCAGTATCTCCCATCGCCAACGGCGAAGGAGATCCTTGACAGCGTCAGCAGTATTGCAGTATCTTTCCTTGCATTGTAATGAAGGATGATGGGGTTCGTTGCCAACAAGTGTTGTCGCTTTCTCCTGAGTGCTGGACGAAGATGATTACACAGGAAATTGCAGTAGTAGGCAGCGTTTACTGTCTGTCGTTGAGGTACAGTGTGGTGCAGTATCACTACATCAGTGTCATATGCCACGATGAACATCGCCTTTACATTACTCTGTGTAGGGCGCATTTTCTTTGGACGAGAAGAGCCAGGATATTTCCATTCATTTGATTGTCGCTTCAAGTGCGGTTCCTATGAGCGAGCCCCAGTTTCGTCCAGAGTGACGATCCTTCCAAGGAAGTCGTCACCTTCCTTGTGGTACTGGTCCAACAAGTCCTCTGCAATTGCATAACATTGCCAGTGTTGCACCTCGGACATTGTATGGGGTACCCAACACGCTGCAATTTTGCGGTATCCAAGAATATCGTGCAGAATGTGGAGCACGGTTTTGTGGCATACAGCTACCTCGGCAGCTAACTCCCATGCAGCCCATCGACGATCAGCATCCAGCAAAGAAGCAAGAAGCTGAATTGTGTGGTTGTCAACATGGGGTCTTCCTAAACGATGGCTGTCCTGAATGGCATCCCTCCCTTCACAGAACAATTTCACCCATCCTGTGACTGCAATATGGCAAAGCAGCATCACCACATGCTTTTCGCAGTCCCTGATAAAAGTTTTGTGCACTATGACCTCGTACAACTTCAATTTTTATCCAGGAGCGTTGTTCTTGATTCGTAAACTTGTTCGTAGGGCGCTTGAACTGGGCTCCTGCAGTTCAAGATGATGCACTATGTAACTCAATGAAACACAACCTCAACCATCCACTGCACTACTTCAACTGAACTTCTGCTATCAGCCACAGACGGTGCTAGTGCCACCTGACGCACATCTTTCATCTTACAGCAGTGTTACCACTACTTTTTATCCAACCCTTGTAGAACGACGAACCTGTGACAACAGTCTTAGTTATAATTAGACAACTCAGTTTTGAAGACTCTTTCACAATCTTCGACAGGGTATCTCCCGCCACTTCCTTCTTCTGATGTGACCCTGTGCACAACAATATTTTAGTTCTCTCAACAAGATTATTTCCTCTCAATAACTGTAGAAGAATGGCATCAGTATCCTGTCTGCTGCACGAGTCAATTTGCGTTGCTGCGGTGAACCCCCCAATTAGCTGCACACATTCCTGGTACTAACAGTGTTGCTGTTTAAAGTTAGATCCTTCCATAAATTCGGATGTTTCGACAGGATGGACCGCCACCTATATACGGGTGCCACACAGATACAGAGCTCTTTCATGTTAAGCTAAGTGAATATCGAGAGCAACAACACAGGAGGCAGAGCATTAGTACCCTTTTGTGACCCATGAGATTCATTCCAGTCTTGTGGGGTGACTTAGCATGCTCAGCATTTCCAGTGTTCATCTCAAGTACATGACGTTTGGATGAGCCTGTATTTGATCTTCGTTTAGGTTCACCTGCGGTAGATTTGAAACACGAACTTCCACATTTCGGTTCCCATATTCCCAGCATATTTCCTACAGGTGATGTTTCACTTGGTTTTGATCGTTTTGTTTGACTGGATGAGACTCCAAGATGTTCACAATTTCCCTTCATATTGTTATGTGTCCGCTACATCTTCCTTAAACGTTGCAGACACTTCGGATTCGGATATAGACTGCAGGGATCTAGCAGAAAATGTCACTTCCAACGCTTCTAATATTGTTGCGTAATGTTGCGGCGGTCACGTGACTCGTCTGCACGCAAAAGTGTTTACGCATCAGTTCCCTAGCAACGGACAACTTCTGGCTCCGGAGTTCTTACTTTGAGCTGTGATGTCACAATATTTAGAAATTAATCGAATAGTGATTCTGTGAATTTTACTGCATTATGCAGACTGTTTACAATTACCATAACAACCATAGCCGACACCGTAACTATGAACTATACTTACACGAAAATTTTTCATTTAAAGACATTTGATTGGTTGCTGACAAATTTCTCCTGCTCCCATTGGTAATTCTGCAGCAGTTCCTATATTGTGTGTCTATATATTCGGGTGTTTTGTAGCAGGGCCGTCACTCGCAATGTGACTTTGACTTTCACATTTCCTGACTATAAGACTTTGCTTCGACTCAGATTTCCTGGCACTATCTGGAATACGATCGTTTGGACGTTTTCTGTGACTTTATATATTCGGATTTCAAGGTAAAATTCACAAGAGCGTCATTTCCTTGCAAAGTAAGAACATGTTGAACAATCAGGTATGTAGTTGCTTACAAATAAATAACATTCTTTAGTTATATTACCAACAGTTTTAGAGGCTTTTCAAAGTTTGTACCAGTTGTCTTTCACATATGAAATAACCACAAACACGAAATTGTCGTAATTGTAGGTTATCATAGTAAAAGGAAATTAATATAAAATCTTTCTTATGATTTAAATCTTGATATATACTTCAGCCTATAGGTTCAAGGGTCTTCCAGAAAGTAATGCAACATATTTATCTTCCCGGCCAAATTTTGTTCACTAAAAATATTAATTTGCGTGCTGCAGTTTTTAAGTGTCCCGGGTTTATCCACGTAGTTACAAGGTTTCCTGCTAGATTGTGGACAAGTAGTGAAAGCTTCAAAATGGCTAATGTCAGTGTGGCTGGTAGGAGCGGAAAACTTTAATGGATGGTTTATTTTTCATATGTACATTCCATTATGTCGCATGGAATAATATTGTGGGGCAATTCGACTCATAGTAATTTAATTTTAAAAATCCAAATAGTGAGAATTATTATGAAGGCAAGAAATAAGGACTCTTGCCGTCCATTGTTCAGGCAGTTAAATATTCTGCCCTTGTATTCTCAATATATGTTTCCTGTATCCATTTTTGTTGTTAAGAATTTAGATATATTTAAATTTAATTCTGCTGTACACAGCATCAAGACCAGACAAGGTCTTGACTTACATTTTCCAAGTAATAAATTAGCTAAAGTGCAGAAGGGTGTATATTATTCAGGAATTAAGATATTCAGTAATTTACTACAAGGCATCAGGAATATATTAAATGATATTACTAAATTCAAACGGGCTCTAAAAGTACCTCCATCAGGATAGGCAGGCGGCACAAAATCTGCCCCGTACAAGAAGGACGATAGGAGTATGGACACGAACCTATGTGGTTAAAAAAAGTAACTATTGACAATAAAGGTTTTCTAAATAACATGTAGAAACTTTTAAAAACCTTAAAACACCAGGAAGCTGCTGTGATTGTGAAACGTTCGACTTTATGCATACTGTGCATTATAGGATATAAGTGTATGTATTTTAAATCAAAACACCTATTGTGATGGTAGTTTCCAGTTTGTAATAATGTTCCATCTGAAGATGGCCTGTAAGGTCCGAAACATGTAAGGGAGATAAGTTTTAACATAGTAAAAATGTTCATGTCACATTGGATGGAGTGGTTTTGTATTTACATTTTAATCAACCTAACTACTTTCATGGGTATCCCAAACTCTATTAGAATATTGTACAGTACTTCCCTCCTAACTGAATCATAGGCTTTCTTGAAGTCTACGAATAGCTGATGTACTGTCTCATGGTACTCCCATTTTTTCTCCAATATCTGACGAATTGAAAAGATCTGATCTGTAGTTGATCTGTTACGTCAAAACCCACATTCATGGTCCACAATAATTTCATCTCTGTATGGATTTAACCTTGAAAGAAGAATATTGGACAAAATTGTATATGAAATAAATGATATAATGATATAAACTCCGTCCCAAGTGCAAACAATATATTATGTGTCCTTGATCTTGCTCCTTTACACTACATGTTTCAGCCTCAGACGGCCATCATCAGGTGTATAACACTCACGTTGCTGTCACACTGCACCCAGCCAAAAATTTAACATTTAAAAACACTTTCCTTATTATTATCAACATCTACTTCGTAGATATCTGTGGGGTTTGTAGATTATTTTACACACGTTAATTTTGACTTTCCTGTAGTAGCACTATAAAATCTTTAGTTCTAATTATAAAATCCTTTAACATTTTTCTCTAAATTTTAAAATTTAAAATTGTTAGGGTTACTCGCCTTATGTCTAAAGTGCTGCAGCGGCTAGTTCTTGTTTCCACACTGTATAGGTGTTATCCTGTGTAGTCTTCCTATCTATCGTATAGAGTGCAACAGGATGCTTAAATATAATATTGTATATGAAGTTGATAGCAGTGATATCCCCTGATAATTACTACAGTCAGTTTTATCACCCTTCTTGTGAACTGGTACACTAATAGACTCCTTCCACTGATCAGGCAAGCTTTCCTTATGCCAAATAGAAGTAATTAGATTGTGGACCTTAGAATGTAATATTTCACCTCCTGCTTGAAGAAGTTTTCCTGGAATTTGATCACTACCTGGTGATTTATACCGTTTCAGTTTTGCAATAGCACTTTCAACCTCAAAAGGGCTAGGATCAGGTACGAACGGCTCAGCTGTATGAATTTCTGTCTGCCTAACATCACTGACCCTGTGTACATTCAGTAACTGAATGAAGTAGTTCCTCNTCGCTTGGATCATGTAATCATTGCAATTTGTCCTGCTTTCTTTGATCTAATAATTTGAGCACCCTTCATCGAACCATGGCTTATGCTTCTTCGGTTCATAATAACATAGACTCTCTTTGGCAGACATTTTGATATTCTCTCTAATAGTTTCACAAGCTTTATTAACATCCACCTCAGTGTCCAAGTTTTCCAAAGCTGCAAACCTATTTGAGATTTCAACACAATACTGCTCTTTACCCTCTACCTCATTTAATTTCTTGAAATTGAACCTCTCCATTTGAACTCTGTGTGTTGTTTGTCTGCTCACTGCCAGTCTTTTCCTAACCTTTGCCACCACCAGGTAGTGGTCGGTATCACAATCTGCTGCCCTGAATGATCAGACATCAAGTATATTTGAGTGCCGTCTCCTATCTATCAAAATATCAAAATTTGTATTTTATTGTGTATCTTCACATCAGGAGATGTCCAAGTAAATTTATGGATGTTACGATGTGAGAACATTGTACTTTTGACAGTAAGATTTTCTGATGTGGCAAAGTTTACAACTCTAACTCCATTATCATTACTGATTTCATGCAAACTCTCATTCACAATTGTTGGTTTGAAAATGTCTTCCCTCCCTACTTTGGCATTGAAATCCCCTAACAAAATTTTCATAGGGTACTTCGGGAATTTATCAAATACATGTTCTAGTTCTTCATAGAGTCTATCCTTTATGTCATCAATCTTATCTTCTGTTGGGGCGTGAACATTCATGACAATGTTATCACACCAGCGACCTTTTAGTATTATATATGATATCCTATCACTAACGAATTCTACCCTGTCCATGATTTATGCTAACCGTCTTGCGGTGCATACGATTTTTCACCTTACTCTTCTCTTTTGCACTACATGTTTCAGCACAAATGTGCCATCTTCAGGTGCATTTTCTCTATGCACGTCTAACTACTGCATTGCATGCCCTGATGTCTTCATATTAAAATGACTAAAATATATATTCATCATATATAATAATAGATTTTAAATATTAAAACTTTTCAGAATTCGTCATCCTTACGTCGTATCTCAACACGCAAATCACGCCAATCCTCCTCTGTCGGAGCATTCTTCCTACATTCGTGTGTATTGTGCTCTTTGTTGTGTCTTGCTCCTGTGACTGCATGCGTTACAACGCACATTAGTGCTGAAACATGTAGTGCAAAAGAGAAGAGTAAGGTGAAAAAGTGTATGCACTGTAAGACGGTTAGCATAAAACATGGACATGAGTCAGTGCAACAGGGCGCTAAAATATAACAGAATTCTACCCTCTTAACTGCTGATACGATTCTCTTATGAAAAAACCTGTACCTAATTCATGATTTTCATTCCCTTTTCCATAAAAAATGTATATTCTCCTGCTGGTGCGATGCCACCTCTATCCCATCTGACCTCCTGTACTCCTGCTAAATCTAACTTATATTTTAAGACTTCTGTCACTGCCCTGAGTGAACCTGCCCTATACAAACTTTGTACATTCCAAGTGTCAAATCTCATATCCATTTTCATCAGCTAAGTTCGTTTATCCAAAGAATCCATCCAGGTCCGAGGCTTTGTGTTCATTTTCGTAACATAATGATTTTTTACGGTGAGGAGTTGTTATCCCCACGCCCAACCCCCAAGCTGGAGGGCCACGCCTTGTTAGCTGTCAGTGACTGGTTATTCAATATATTCGCAGTTTCCCTCCAAAACTGGAGGGTGTCTCCTCCATCCGCAACCTGAGGACGTGCTATGTCGTGGTGACAGGGGTCCACCTAACATGGCCTGTAATTGGATCTACTTGAATAAGAATAAATTATTACTATTATTATTATGAATGTAAAGAAGCGATTACGGAGGGTTCGTTCTCATAAATATGTGACAAAAGTGGTTGTGTCACCGTGACAGTGCGAGACCATCTGGTGCTTCATCCGTCTTACAACCCGAATCTAACTCCATCCACTACCATCTTTTGGTCTCTTGAAAGATGCAATCTGCAGAAGGAAGTTTCAGGATGATGAGGAATTCTTATCCGTAGTAAAGATCTGGTTGCGACAGATCTGCAGAGTGGTACCATGATGGCATGCAGACTCGCAGTTAGGTCGCATAAGGCAATGGATTTAGAAGGAGAGTATGTTGAAAAATATATTCAGCCAAAGATTCACGTAGCATTGTCAGATATTTGAAGTTTTAATAAGGTAAACTGTGAATGAGAAAAAAGAAATTGCTACATTACATTCTGGGGAACCAACTTGTATTTCTGAAAAGTGGGAACTTAACCTGTCATACATATAGCAGTCTGTTGTGGGCTGTGAGTAAGTCTTGCTTTATAGCTGTCACAACTACAAGGTCTTGGACAACGAAGAGTATTTTAGAGACTCAAATATTCGTTTATGGTATTAGATATATACAGGAAATGTTTTTGGATTCCTCCTTCATGAGATTGAATGAAACTGATCTCTAAAGCTTATTTTTGTCTTTCACAAGATAATTTGTTGCCTATTTAGGGTCTAAAAATTTCATGGTTTAACAAAGCTGTAAGTTATAGAAAAACTTTCTTCATTACAGAGTTCATTCACATTGAAATTAGCCTCAGTTAAGACCTGCTGATAGGCCAAGTCTTAGGTCCCTTATAGAAAAGTAACTTTACTTAATTTATGTGATTTTAAGTTTCAACAGGTTATAACATATACTATGTGTCCATGATATATCCTAAATTTAAATGTAAATATTTCATTTGTAATGCCATTTAATTATAAAATCGATCCATTTTATCAAGACAATTTAATGAAGATGGATATATATATTCATGGACCATGTGGTGGTGGTGGTCTAGATATATAATGAAACAATGTGCAACTTTTTTAATACCAGCTTCATTAATTAACTGTTGTGTTGACACCACCGTAGTACCATTAGTTCTTGTGTTATGTGTTGTCATAGCTGCAATGTGTGTTTTCTGATGTTTTTGGTTCTGTCCGCAGTAGTGGCTAGTGCGTGTAGTGTGTGTTGGAGCACATTTCTTTAAATTATCTTAACAAGAATGCATCTTTGTTAAAAAAGAACCTTTATGCTTAAGACATGTTGTACCACAAAATATTGAATACAGTGTAGCAATTTGTGCAGCCCATCATATACCTGGTGATGTGCCCATGTGGCTGAAAAATGTAAGTACCCATGAAACATGGACTAAGTGGCGATCTAAAGTTGCACCAGGACAGGTTTCCTCTAAATAGTTTGGTTTTCCCTGCCAGTTCTCATTCCACCAAATGCTTCATCTGCCTCTCTCATCTGGGGCTGGTACAGTGGCCCAGTTAGTGGCGGACATACCAAGTGGACTCAGTCTCATTCCATCTCACCCCATGAAAAGGAAAGTGGTGGTTTAAAAAGCAGACTTTGAAAATGATGCATATACACAAATGTGTTATATGTAAATATCAGGTGCTCAACTAATGTAACAGGATGCTCAGATTCTGTATTATCCCAGAATAGTGACTGGCTGTTGTATTGCAGGTTTTCAGAGTGAGCAGTATGGCCAGCATATCGTCGTTCAATGACCTGTTTGGAACTGATCCGTTCCTGTTTGGTGACGAAGACCCACTAGCGAATGGTCTGGAAAACTCTGCTGACTATGTGGACAGTCAGTCATCTCACATGGATGTGAATAATGGGGTTTGTAGTGCACCAGAGGAAATGAAGCAGTCACCAGTATATGAAGAGTTGTGTGACTTCACAGTTGCGAGTGATTGTTCAGACAGCACCCTACCACCTGCCTGTGTAGAGAAGAAGCATAAGGGCAAGATAAAGCTGAAGGACGAGCAGCTAGATCTGCAGTGTGGATGGCGGGACTGTGATCACCGCACCAGCAATCTTGACCAATTTGTGCGCCACGTCAGCTTCCACTTACCGCACCTAGAGGTCAAACTGAAGAATGATCAGGAAGGTACTGGTTCTGTTGTGTTCCTTAGGATCTTCCCTGCTTCCAGCAGTACATGACAATGTCACATGTGCAGTCATATGCTTGCTCATATCAACTTCTGTTCCCTGTTGAAATATTTTAGAAGTATTTAGTGGTTTGAGAATAGTAGCAGAAAATGTGGAAAATAATGGAGTAAATATTAAGGCTTTGCATGCCATGAGGCAATTCAAATGATTAAAATTGCCACAATCAAACAGATAGGCTCAATATTAATCACTCGGTACAGCATTTCTTGTAATAGATGGGATCAGATGTCCTGTACTCATGTTTAGAGGAAAGAATAGGCCATGTTGGTGTCTGAATCTGTGTTACTTTGAAGGTGATATGAGGTTTTCTGTGCAACAGCATTTACCCGCAGGCACCCTTTGCTTTTCTAGCAGGGAGTTCTGTGGCAGGGCTTGGCACCCAGAGGTTTAGGGACCTGAGGGAGGTATTCATGGCTTCATCAGAATATCAGCTGAAGGGACTTGAGGCCAATACCAATAACATTCACCATGCAAACGGTTCTCTATAGAACTTGCACCAGAGAGCTCAGAGGTTATTTTTAAAGTAGGCTAGGAATTCCATTAGTAAATGCTCTGTGTTGCATATCTCAGAGCAGAATGGTTGCACTCTTGTTACTTTCTGTAGTTGTCAGGGGAACACATCATTAAATTACAAGAACAAGGGTCATTGCAAGCAGCAGATTCACTGCATGATAGAAGTAACTTAGAGAGAAACTAGATCACTTGCTGCTGTTTTATATGGCAACAAGAATGTTACATGCGAGCATAGTTGAATGTTCAGTATCTGCATGAGGTGACAGTATACATGAAAACAAAACAAATTAACCTGAAAATAATTTGGTTCCCTTGAGGACAGTAATAAAATAAAACTGGGTGTTTGTAAGGGGATTGCATTAAGGTGGTTTAGTAAGTGTATTTTAATGTTATAGTGAGAAACCTTCAGATTCTATAGTGTTGAGAGTTTTGGCAGAGCTGGTTCTTGTTGCTGCGAAGGCCCTAGTCTGATCAAAATCACTTTGGTTCATATAATCAGAGCCTGTTTAGCTAACATGTCATTTTGGTATGTCTGCTCTGCCCTGATCTCATAAGTTGTTTTTTTTTTTTTTGTGAAGTTTTAAAGCCAAAATTTTGCATGTAGTTTTCCTGTTTGTATTTTACACGCATCAACTCCCTCAACGTCTTTCACTGAATCACTGTAACTGAGGTAGGTGGAGAGATCAGTGACGCTCTTCTGCAGTTTTCTCAGTTCTTTTGATTCATCTGCCTTGGCATCAAGTACTTTACAGAATACTTTGTTTTAAGATAACTTATATTATTCCCTCATAGTAGGGACCTTCTTATATTTGCTATTGTTACCCGAGTTCGCTTGCAGGCTAAAACCACGGAGTTTGTTAGCTCTACCCTGCTTTCTCAGTGTAATGACCTTTGTTGCCCAATATTAATTTTTTTCATATTTATCTGAAATGAGTTTTGCTAGAAATAGGTAATCCTGTTTTTTGTAAAGAGGGCAGATGGATGGAAGCTTGGAAGGAAAGGATGATAAATGCTATTTTTATGCTTATATATTAAAAGTCTCAAGAAACATAAATTGGATTGCAAGTAAGCCTGGTGAAACTACAGACATTTGAAGGGTTTCAGTTTGTGTACAGGCATTATGACTTTGTGATGCATTGTTCAGGTAAGTTATGTATTTCCATTTCTTCACATGAAGCTATGTTTTTGCCTGAGGTTGACACCAAGATGAGAGAGCCTGTTTCAGAACAGTTACAAATATTGGTTCTGCACTTATGTGTAACATACCAGGATGGCCTGCAGTATTGCACTGTATGTTGCACTGCATTTATCATAAGAAGAGTAATCTGCTAACATCAGACATGCCACAGGAATTTAGAAATAACAGAACTGTGGCTCTATGAGAAACATTTGATGGTTAATAGCTATAATCATTACACTCTTGTATTAAGTTTTGAGATACTGAAGACAGATAATTTGTGTTGCAGGTGTATATGTCTGTTTGTGGGAGCAGTGTGGTTTTGAATGTGCAGACTCCAATGAGATAACAAGACACGTCAATTTCCATTCATATCATACCAAATTAAAGTGCATTGGGTCAAATATTTTGGCTCGTTCAGGACTACCAGTAAGTGATGAGCATTCAGCACATGCATTCTTCAGCCTCTTATAAACATAATTCTCACTAATGTGTTGAGAGAGTGCTTATTTATTTGAATTATTGTGTTTCTGGTTGTTATCCATTGTCCTGTTTCTGTTTAAAATGCAACATTTCAGAGACTGGATTCTGACCACTAAGATAAGGAATAGCTCTCTTGATTGGACCCAGCTGAGTTAGTTCCACCTGAAAATGGAGACTGAATCCAGTTTCTGAAATGCTGGTGCTTCAAATAAAACAGGATGATGGATAATGTCCATAAACAGAATAATTGTATTAATATACCATTGTCACAAAGTTTTAGAGCTTATTTATTTGTCCAAATCAAATGCCTTAATTTGTGGATTTAGTTTCCTTTACGTCCCCTGCATCCTTGAGGCACATTTTGCTCTTCATTCATGACAGACCTACATTTAGTCATATGAAGTCCAAATCTGGGTGTGAAGTTACACAACTCCCAGAAACAGAGAGTAAAGTAATGGTCATGAATTCCATGTGACCCAGAACGAAGAATGACTGTGTTGATGAGGACAGCAGAAATTTCCCCAACTGACTGGAGAACTGAACTGTTGATCTTATGAATTTTCCTGATGTAATATAGAAAGTGATGTTGTGTTACAGATTTGCACATTGCAAGTTGCTGGGAAGAAAGTGGTGCCAGACTTGCCACATGCATTTGAATGCTGCTGGCAAACCTGCGAGGAAACATTCAGCAGTCCACAGTTCTACTTCAACCATGTTGACATGCATGTCTATTGCAACCCACGTGGTAGAAAAGTGAAAGGTGTTCCATGCCAGTGGCGTGGTGAGTTCTAATTTCCACATCATGAATTCTCACCACAATTTATGTTAGCTCGATGCCACTTATGCATGCATGGCTCTTGCTGTAGCCAGGAGGATTGCAGTCACCTGTTTTTGCATGTCACAGCAGATTTGGAACATTATCATGCATATATATCTTCACAGTTTTAGGTATCTGAAGGCTGTAGTTAAAGTGCTGATGTTAGATATAATTACAGAAAGAGTTATCTGAAGTAGTTAAAATTCAAAGGAGAAAGATATTGCATATACTTCTTCCTTTATGCATGCCCCCGCAGATGTCATGTATCACAAAATGTGTGCGATAATTATGCTAACTGGAGCAACACAAACATGAAAAATAATTAAACGAACAAAAATAATGTTATCTAACACAAGGTAACCAAACAAATTCAGGTATGACGGTGAAATGTAAAATATGCCCAATATTTGGTTTACTTTTGCTGTGAATAATATAAGAACATCAGATTATTATGGGAATGAAAGGGGAATAAGTGACTGATCACAATATGTGATATATATGCACTTGGTATTCATCCCTCAGGGAGCACAAGCCTCTTTACAGGTCAGAGTACTGAAAATATGAATGCCTTACACATTATGTTAGTTTAAGTCCTTTAATGACAACTAAAAGGTATAAAAGTCCATGGGGCAGTGGCTAACGTGAGGATACTTAGGATCTAATTCTTCACTAATGATTTATGATTTGATGGCAATTACAAATCCTTGCGTTTCTGTTGTCAGTGTCCTTTGATGTAGTTGATCCCACCCACGAAATACAAGTGTATTCAGTTTCTGCGTCAGTGAATTTAGTAATTAGTGAACTTCGTAAGCAAAGACTTCATGCAGTGATGAGGTTAAGCTGTTTTAGACCATTCGTTGGGGCCCTCAAATTCAGATTATATTACCTAAAGGTGCATCCACATTGCTCGTGTTCATGTGACTCACTGTGCTCGCGAGTAATGTGGACAATATGACAAGTCACGAGACAAGCATATTTTAAAATTTTAATTTAAAAACTATAGTCAATAAATTAAAATACGACTATAGCCTATACACACTACGAGTAAATATATGGATCCTCACTCGCCAAAGCCTGGTGAGCAACTGAAGTAGTGTGGGCGAAGATTTATGAGCACAAGTAAAAGCCAGATGAGTCTCCCGATGAGCACAAGCACGAGTAATGTGGACATGCCTTAAGATTCATCATGCATTGCTATTGCATCCAGGAAGCTGCGACAAATGAGTCCACGCGATGCTGTCTTTTTCTGAAAAGTTCAAGAACTGCTGTCAGACAGTCCTCAAAAACAGTTGGGGGAGGGAATCGCTGTACAGTGCTGGACTTGGAAGTTTTATGTTGAAAAAATTCTGGGAGTACATTTGTAAAGGTTGAAGCGTCTGCTTAAGCATCAAAGAGTACAGTGAAGTATAAAGTAGACCCTTGAATTAAACAGACTTGGGTATAAATGCATTTAATTAAAATATCATTTTGTTTGTCATCAAGAAAAATCATTTCATCCTTCACTGTTGTTGGTTGACCCATAAGAGTTATTAACATACTCATTTCTGAATTTCATTTATCTGAGTAAGGTGTCATGTGGTCTTATTCCATCCTTCTAAGCAAAGGCATGGAAATTAGCTTGAATTCAGCAATGATTGCTTGCTTATATGCTAGTGAATTTTAATGAACTTCTCAATCATACATGCAAAATAATGTTAAAAAATTAAGATAGCTTTCACATGCCCAAACAAAAAAACATGTGCAGTGAAACAGTGTGACAAAGTTGGTTGGCTGTGTGCAGCTGAAACATATCATGAAGATATATATGATAAAAGAAGAAATGTTGCATCTGATACAGTAATTACATACGTACAGATCTAATAATATTAATGCAACAGGATGCTCAAGTACAACATTCCTTCATATATTTCTCTTTAGTGTATGTAATCACTCTTTCATCTCATTTGATATAAAATGATTTCTCCATTTCATCAGGTATCAGTAAATTACTATCACACAATTAAAGTACAGTGTCATATTCACAAGGAAATTTAGATATCGCTGAACATGTGTGCAGAGATTAACTCTGATACTGAAGTGTAAGCTTTTTCATGTTACAGGGTGCATGTCGAAGTCTACCTACCAATCGGTATACAAGCTGGCAGACCACATTAGAATCCATACAAAAGAGAAACTTGTGGGTTGTCCAGTATGTGGTGGGCTCTTTGCAAACAGAACAAAGTTCTCTTACCACTGCAAGCATCAGGTTCCCTTAGAATGTAAGTTATAGACCTTTGTGCACACACACACTTGACAGTGAAAGTTTAAATCTAAGATAATGTTTTAGAACAGATGTATGTTTGCTTAAGTTTGGAACTGCACGATATATTTTACCATGTGCAGCAGTATTCACTATATGATGGCGTGATCTGTTGCAGTGCAAGGTCCGTCTGGGGAACTGGTGCAGAAACAGATAATTAAGGCACAGAACCGCCACAAATGCCCCTTCTGTGGCCAGTCTTTCTCGTGTCCATCAAACCTTTGCGTGCACATTCGGTACAGGCACCTGGATAGCAGGCCGTTCAGATGCAGCTTTTGTGTATATAGGTGAGTAGAACCCTCATTCTTCTCACATTGAGCTAGTTGGCTCAGACGGCAGTATTTCTGACTCTCATTCAAGAGGTGCTTGGTTCTAATCTCAGCTAGAACACCAGCTTTCTGGTTGTCTTTTTCATGGTTTTCGTGGACCCTCCAGGCAAATGCTGGGAAGGTACCTCAAATTAGGCCATTACAACTTCGTTGCAAATCATTTCCACTTCATTATTCAGTTATCATTCTACTATTTGACAGCACACAGTCTGAGATTTTTATAGCATTATTAACTAAACCATAAGTAAATAATTCAACTGTGCAAAATCCATCTGACTAATATTTCTTGAACCTTATCTGGTATATTGGCCATCCCAATTGTGGTTGGTGTCTCTCCAGATGAATAATGAAATCTTTTCAGATACTCATTAACGATTTTCAATTCAGCATTTATGGTCATCTGCACATCTCATCTGATAGGCAGTCAAAACAGTGTTAAATAACCCAAAATCACTTGTGACTGGCCCTCAAAGTAGCATATCACTTTGAGGAAGACATTTGTTTTGTACTATTGATGTGATAGCAAGGAGCACACAAGCAGCACATTAACTTTGTCTGTGAACTAATGACTTTCTCAGTGAAGCAAACTGTGTGCCTCTTGTCACTGCAAGTCATTTCTGCTCACATCTTGACTCTACAGAGCCATTTGTGACATTCCTGCTTAAAGTGTGCTTTTATGAAGAAATTAAATTTTATAAAACTTCTCAAAAAGACTCATGGAATCTGAACAAAATTTAATAGTCAGAAATACTTAATGTAATTTGATTTCAGATTATATTGTAACGTGTTTTGTTACTGAAGACACCGTAGAGATTGTTAATTGGTTTATTCAGCAACCTACAAATCTCGGCTACAATTATTTATAACACAGTTGCGGGGTTTCACACTTTATAACCCTATTCGCAATGTTCAGTTCACTCTGTTGTTACTGAAGACGCCGCTCGGATTGTTAACTGGTTTATTCAACAACCTACAAATCTCAGCTACAATTAATTATAACAACGTTGCGGGGTTTCACACTTTATAACCCTATTCGCAATATTCAATTCACTCTATTGTCAGTAGTCTACACGTTTCACAGTACGGGAGGTATATAAGTGTCACTGTGTTACACACTCTCAATTAATCCTCAGTTATCACAAACTGTCACTGATTATCACACTAACTGTCTCCGGGGACGGCTACTCGTTCACTAACTCTGACGGCTATGCAGTTCCCTTATATAGCCGCAGTGTTTGCCTGTTGCGTAATGAGTGCCTTGTCACAGTAGGAATCGGTGCCACGTCGCCATGTTTGTGTATAGCCTAGCAACGCTGTTACCTCACGCCGTCTTACGTCACCGTGGGGAGAGTGGCGGGGTGATGACTCGCCTGTTACTCGCCTATTACCATAGTAACGAGAGCGCTACGTTACCGCCACGTGCCGCTGGGGAGGTAGGGGACCTCCGTTGCGCAACATGTCACAATATCTTTAGCACATATTTGATTTAATGAATATTTATTGTGATACTTATAGAAGTTAACTGGCACTCTGGTTGCTGGAAGAGATCTGAAAATGAAAGTTAACAGAGTAATTTGTTTGATGTATATTTTGTTTCAGAGCCAAGACACACTGGGACATGAAGCGGCACTTGAACAAACACTGCCCTAACCCACTTTACCACTGTGTGGAGGAACAGTGCAATTTCTCATGTCGCAGCGCTTATGGGCTTCGCAGGCATTATGAGAAGGTATGTTAACTTGCATGTTATTTCATTGTATGAAGAAACTTTGGAGCTGAACTCCTCACCAGAAATTGAAATTTATCTTCATAAAGCCTTTTGTTTTGTCTTTGTTGATGTTTGCTAGTTTTGTTGCATTGACATTGAGCATCAGTATTCTGATTGGTAGGAATGCTTGCAGTTCGAGGAGACTGTCATTCCAAAACTGAACTATTCTGTTGAAACTGTGTCTGTCAGTCTGCCATGCCATAATAGTTTCTGTTTTGGAAAATAGAAAACAGGCTTCAGTCACAGCTTTGTATCTAGTCACTTTTTTTGCCAGCTTGATAACTGGTGCTGCACATCCTCATGGTATTCATGTGCTTTCTATTTGAATCTCCATGAAATAGTCCATTCACTTCAAATTTCATATATAACAGGCTTCCTGTTTCATGGTGAAATGATGTGGGGAGAGGGATTTCTTGTTCCACCCTCTAGGACACCATTATCATTGTTGTATGTAAATTACACCACTCATGGCAAAGTGTGCTATCAAATCATTGAACCAGGATCAGTGAAGCAAACACTGCATCAGGATTGTACGTACTTAATGCTGCTATTGGAACAGTGGCATGTCGCTTGAACTTGTTATGAAGAGGCTCATTTAGAGGTTAAATCGAGGAGGTTATAGTTTCTGTCCACAAAGTAGTTCACTGATACTGGAATTCTGACTTTTGTTTATTTCTGTGATTGTTGACTGGTATGAGTAATTTATTTCTGGCTTGGGGAGTGTGGGTACAATATTTGTGGGGCACGCAGTAGTGTAATTGGTTGAGGCACTATGCCACAAGCTGAAAGGTCATGGGTTCAGTTCCAGATGAGGTCATTGAATTGTTTCAATTTTCATAATCCCTCCAGCTGCAGTATGGCCCTGGGGTTGACTAAGCCCCTAACAGAAATGAGTACCACTAAGATTACTGGGGGATGAAGGGTGGATGACACGTAAGGCTCACAGCCTCACCGCCGTCTGTGAGGTGATTGTCTAGAAGATGTGGGAGCATAGACCTCTCATACCCCTATGGGCCTTTACAGTCTCTTACAGGGACAGCTTTAGCTTCTTCTTCTTCTTTTTTTTTAACAATATCTGTACTACAGAATTTATGTCATGCATATACTGTTGTGTTTCGTCATTGATCTGAAAGTTAATTTCTGCATGAAATCATAATATGTTGCTTTATGCTGTTGGTGTTTTAGCACCACCTTGGATGTGATCAGCCGCAGTACTGCTGCCACATATGTGACAGCCTGTTCCGACGTGGCTCCCTGCTCACGCACCACCTTTATATTAAGCACAGCATCTGCCAGCCGTCAGGCCAGTACAGATTCAGGTTGGTACAAATCACAAGAAGTTACTTTTGCTGTGTTAGGATAACACTGCACTATAACTTTGCCACAGAAATCACTACGCCTGTGATGCAGGTGTGAGCCCTACATTCCCACAAGAATACAGACATTACAGGAAGAATTTGTGGCACTTTCTAACTTCAGCACTTTTTTCCCCCAAGTATAATTCTACTGATGTAATGGTGATAAGTTGTGACAAATTTATGCTAATGTAGATTTTCATTATTTTACATTTATCAGATATAACGCTACAGTGTTCACATTGTTGCTGTGTTTATAATTTGTTTCCTGAAACCATTTTCATTCAAACTGCACGGATACAATTATAATCCATACGACTACACCAAATTTCTCATACCTACATACAGTGATTCAGTAGTTAATTGCCTAAGGTAAAGTTCCCTAGTGTCTAATTAATTATCACATACAGGAGGCACATGAAAGAGTGGAGATACATTCCAGGCATTCTTGGCACTAGATGGAAATGGTCAGTTTTTCTTGAAAAATTGGGTGTCATGCAAGAAACAGCATTAAATTGAATATCCCTGATGTTCCATCTAGATTCATATATATGCCACAATGATTTGGCTGTTCCTGTGCCATGCAATTATGATCCACAATTACAGACTACAGGATGATGAAAGGTACATTTACATTATCGGATCCAACTCATAACCCACCAAATTAACCAGGTGCAGCACCTGATGTAATGAACCAAACCTAGTAATGATTTTGCGTGTAATTTAAATCTGTCACAGTAACAAGAGCAGCTTTTGGGATCAGTGTTACAACAATGGAATTTTCTGCTAAAGACATGAAAGTTTCTGGATTTAGAAAAGGAAACCAAAAACTGTTGGTATTTCATGTTACTTAAGAGACTTTTAGTAGTGGTTTTACACAGTAGATTAAGGGAAAATTTGAGATTTCAACACAAACTGAAGAAAGACAATTATTTAGAGACTTGTTCAAAGTGAGCTGAATGGCAGTTTTATGCATAATAGGAACAGAGACCTTCATTACCCAGAACCCATGCTCTTGGTACAGGGGAAACTTCTTTTACATACAAAGTACAGTACCCACACATTAAGTATGGAATATTGTTTGTAAGTCAGCAGTTACAAACACGGACATTGGCGTGAAATTTAAGGCTGCATCCAAAAGATTTAAGGTAGACAGAATCTATACATAATAAGTTCTGTACAATAATACAGGGTGGGGTGCAGAAACTTCCTTTTTGTGAAGATGCATTGTGAAGGGAGGCTTGGATAGGCTTGGCGAACGCAGCAGTCACAGAAGTTTCTGTCTAATACCCCTCAGTAGGAAATATGAGGTGGATGAGTGAGCAGCGTGCGTTTGCTGTCGAAGCCTATTTTTCGAACAACCATTCCTACGTGGCGGTGCAGCGTGCATTCCGTACTCACTTTGGAATTAAGCCCAGATGTCCGGTTCCTGACCAGAAATCGATTGTTTTGTGGGTAGAGAACTTTAGGACAACCAGGAGTGTGGTGAAAAAATCATCAGGATGACAACGGACCGTTACAATGCCAGAAAATGTGGAAGCAGTTCCGACAGTCGATTTTGAGATCTCCAAGCCACTCCGCTTGCAAACATGCAGTCGCCCTAGACATATCCAGTCGTTCAATGCGCTGCATTCTTCACGAACATCTTAATTTCCATCCCTATAAGATGGTTGTTGTACAAGAATTGTCACCACGTGATTTCCAGAACCGAATAACAGCGTGCGAAACGTTATTGGAAACTTTACCCCCTGACGCACTTGTTTTCTTTTGTGATGAGGCACATTTTCACCTATCCAGATATGTCAACAAGCAGAATATGCGCTATTGGAGTAGTAACAATCCCAGAGAGCTCCATCAGAGGCCACTTCACAGTGATAAGGTGACAGTATGGTGTACGTTGTCGAGTTGGAGTTATTGGCCCTTATTTTTTTTTTAAGAAGACAATCATGCAGTTACTGTCAATTCACAGCAATATGTGGACACGATTAAAAACTTTTTCAAACCAACTGTTGAAGAAATTCATCTAGGAAATGTCTGGTTCCACAGCCCACACAGCCCGAGCTTCGATGACAGTTTTGAGGACAACGTTCCCCGGATGGCTCATCTCACTTCGAGGTGACATCCTGTGGGCAGCGCACTCATGTGATCTAACGCCATGTGACTTTTTTTATGGGGATACCTCAAAGCAGAGGTTTTTAAACATCGCCCCACAAACCTGCTTCAGCTGAAGAATGTTGTTTGGCAGGAAGTAGCCCAAATTCCAGTGCACATGTTGGAACGTGCAGAGGGGAACTTCACAAAACAGTTGCATCCGTGCATAGAGAACGGTGGTCACCACCTTCAAGATATTTTGTTTAAAACTACATGATTTAAAACTTTAAAGTATGTTCTTTCATTAGCTAAACATAAATTTTGTCTATCAGCAATAATTTTTCTTTTATTCGCCTTCAAAAAAAGGAAGTTTCTGCGCCCTACCCTGTAATAATAATAGATCTGTAGGACCAGCATCATATGAAATAACGAAGTGGGCTTTATGAGTTCTGCTCAGAACTCCTTGTTAATCAGCTGGGCTGTTAATTCCAGAGGCAGATTCATTTGATGAAAACTTCCATCTGAAAGTATGAGATTGATTATGAGATGAAAACTCCAACCACATTCCTTCAAATAAAAAATCATTTAAGTAACATAAAACTTAATAGTTTCAGACATATAAGTGTAGTGATTCCTCAGTGTTGAAAATCTTGGACCCAGTTGTTTGAAGTGTGTCTCAAAATAGTTCTGTGGTGTACTTGCTGGAACCTTGGAGGTAAAGTATTATTATTGTAACTCAGCTCAACTGTTGCAGGTACAAGCAAGATGAAGATGGCTTGTTTCGGCTTCTGACAGTGGACACCAGACCCAAGAAAGTGACCCAGAATGCCAGCCAACCATTGTGCAGCAAAGAGGATGACCCCCTGAAACAGAAAGCTGGAGGAGGCGAGGTTATCGTCTCTATGATAGAATATGATGACAAGGAGACCGTTGTGTCCAGTGAAGATACAGAAACTACCAAATTATATAGCCTGCCCCCAGGAAGTTATAAACTCCTAGAAGCTTTAAGTTTTATAGAGTGAACTGTTTATTCCCCTCTTATGGTTGTCATTCTTGTAGTTCTGTACTAGACTGTGTAATTGAATGTCATAGTAATAAAGATTTTTTTTCTTTCCATGCAGCCTTATTAATATCTCACAGTTCTTCTCTAACTTCTGAGTTATTTTTCTGTATCTGAATCAGTTCGTATTTCGCCAGATCATTTATTGTCTTATAATCTGTGCTTTATTCATGTCTTCATTTCCATAAATGTTTATCAGTATGTTAATGCCTGTGGATATTCATCAGTTTTACTGACAAATTACTCCTAATTCTCTGTATTCTGCCTCTTTGGTAAAGAAACAAGATGTTACTTTATGATTTTACAGAGTAAAAGCATGAAGAGCAGCTTGTGTTTTATACCCCTTATACACAGTATTACAGAAGTAGAGCTCAGACCCTAATGAAGACCAAATAATCCATTTCAGGTTTCTGTGTTGAGAGTGTAGGAATGTTATATTGAGATATAAAACTTTGTGAACACTGGGTGATATACATGTATACCCCGTGTGTAAAATGTGGCTTGTGTATCCCAAATTACTATTATTATTTCTAATGGCCTGTTTTTTGTACCTAGTGTGGAATATTATTACATATTACAGATGCACCAGACCCACAACAGGTGCAAGGAAAAGTAACCTATAAAAGATTTTATAAGCATTTTAAATTACTCATAAAATGCAGAATACAACCGAGTAAGAACAGAGCAGCAGTTTTCATCTACAATCTTATATACCTGATGATGGTCATTTAGGCCTAAACATGTAGTGTAAAATAAATAATAAGAAGACACAAAGCTCATTGAAATGTAAATTCAATATATGGATGGAACTGCACAGAGATGAAGTGAGAATCCTAAAATTGGAATTTATAACTATATGTTTTTTGCATCCTGAGGTTGAAATATTAATGCAACCTTGCCAATAAACACACTAAAGATATAGTTGCTTCAGTTTGTGTAACAATAAAAATAATTCCAATGAGGCATTAAACTCACACCTCAGAACTCAAATGCAGTCTGTACCAGTGAACTGTTTATCTGCATGCAGGCTGCTAAATGTTCAATGATTACATCCAGTTTCTCAGTTAAATAGTATTCTAATGCTATTTACCTACAGGAGATCAGTAGAATTTCCATGAACTAACAGTTGGAAAATTCATATACAACAATTATACAAATCTGTTTGGACTGAAAAACACTTCTGGCTTTGAAAATACAAGCAGAAACCCATGCCAGAACAAAACAATGAGGGATAGGGAAGAGCAGGTATGAAGGAAGGCAAAACAGCAAAGTCTCGTATGACAAAATATAAGGAAAATAAAACTAAAAACATCTGCCGCATATACATGATGAAGGCAACATTGTTTTCAGAGGAATTATACAGAATGGAGAACCAAAAGTATACGAACACTAATAACTATAATATACATGCTGTGGATGATTGATATGTCATCACAGAACCCTGGAAACACCTTGTTTTTTTGTGTCATTTAATGATGCTGTCAACATGTAGAAAACAGCTTCAGATGGTAGGGTGACAGATGAATTGGAAAGGATTTGGAAGGATGCACTTATGGCCTAATTCAGATACTACCCTATCATTGCCATGAGGGACTTAGGAAAACCACAACAAATTCTGGATAGCCAGTGCCCTGGCCAAGATTCAAACTGAGCACCTCCTCAATACAAGCCCAGAGTATCACCTCCAGACCAGCCTTCTTGGTCACACATTGTTCAACACAGTTTGAAAATAGGGTACTAGTCTGATAATGAAAGAGGACCAAGATATACACTGACAGGCAACCCTTTCTCATCTGAAGTCATCAAACCATTCTTATATATGGCACAGAATTATTAATTATTGCATAAAATTTTAAGAACCTGCATCACAAGGTTCATCATGCTACTACTGTAAAATATAACAATTACATTTGTTAAAGCTGCACATACACTATACGTGAATATGTTTCACACCACAACCATAGAAGAGACTCCATTTCACTGTCTATGAAGTGACTCAGTTTTGCTAAAAGAGAAGACCTGGAAGAAGCATTTCCATCCTTGGTTCCAGCGACTTTCTGAATGTTCTGCTCCACAGCATTTCCTAAAAACAATTACCCTGTTACAACAAAGATATTTCACTGATTACTCAAAGTCATGTATTTGTAAATGGGACAAAGAGCAAAGACATAGTTTATCCATGTGTAAACTTGTGCAGAGGCCTACTATACTAAATGAATAACCTGAAGGTTTAATACTAATACAAAACCTGTTCATTATTTGACACATTCCTGAGCCAGTTTCATTTATATCCCATCCTCACAAAACTATATCCCTTAGATCCACCTTAATATTATTCTCTCATCCCCTTTTCAGCCTCTTCAAGTAGCTGTTTACCATCAGTAGTCTGCATACATTTCTTACCTCCTCCATCTTATACAAGCTACATATCCATGTCACTGTGTAAAACCATTTTCAGTACCGAATGAAAAGTGCAGAATCAGGCCTTCAAAAAGTTTTGTTAAATAATAAATACCAAATGATGCATTCTATGTATCTGTAAGGAATTAAGTTTATATGGTAAAACCTCAATCTGTTGTTCTCGGATACGTCACTTTCCCAGATCAATCGTTCAATTTCTGCGGTCCCTGAACAAATCACATTTAAACCATGGAAAGAAACCCTGCACCAGTTGTCCATCGTTTTCCTGCATCTACTGGTTAGAATTTTTAGTCTCAAAGAATGTTAATCCCGGATTGATTGTTTTTAAGAACGAGCAACACGACATACGCAAATGGTAGTATGCATTGGTGGTAGTAGTAACAGCAGTTAATGTTTTTGGAGTGTGGCATAACAAGTTGCAGTTTTGGCTCTATACCATTAGCTGTGTGCTATGCAACCTTGAGCATGTGTTACCAACCAGACAATGAGCTGGAGGGAAAGGGGCTGGCGAAAGCCTGGTCAAGCTGGGTAAGCTTTCCTGCATGTTAGTGTGAATCATTTCAGTTCACGCGTCTGCCTAGCTGAGTATGCAGTTCATCACATGTTCAATCCTCTTCAGTGCTTCGTGTTTTTAACGCCATTATCTTTAAAAAAAATTTCTCCCACATGGAGTTTCCTGTGAAACAAGTTCGGACTTTAGAAGAACGACTACGTATCATAAAAGTGATGGAGAAAACCCCATCAAACAAGAGGGCTGACATAGCCAAGTGACTAGGCCTGCTACCACCTACCCTAAATTCGATTATCATGGAGGAAAGGAAGATGGGCAAGGAGCTGACCTACAGCAAGCTGCAGCTGGTACCAGCAGGCCCAAGCATCACGCATTCCTGTGGGTGGGGCCATCCTGTGGGAGAAATCCCTCAAAATACCAACAAGAATGGGGACTCAGAACTTTTCAGCTTCAAACAGATATTCTGCATCAAGCAATGCCACAGTATGCTATTTGATAAATTGATCAGGGAGAATGCTGCTGTGGACACCAATCCCGCAGACCTTTGATTCGAAAGAGTTCCAGATCTGCCAGAGGGCTACAAGTCTTGGAACAACTATACTGCAAATGAAACGGGCCTCTTTTTCAACTGCCTGCCACACTGAATGCTAGCACTGAAAGAAGAGACCTGCCATGGAGGATATAGTGCGAAGGAGCAACTCATGGTACTACTGTGCACGAACAGCGATGGCTCAAACGAATCAGTACCCAGGGTTATTGTAAAGTCCACAAAACCACAGTGTTTAAAAAACGTAAAGAAGCTACCTGTGACCTACTATGCCATCTCAAAAGTATGGATGATGTCAGAGATTTTCAGAAAATTTCTGCGTGCTTTTGATGCACCATTTGGTGCACTCCACAGGAAAACCCTCCTCTTTGTAGAGAACTGTGCTGCTCATTCTCAAGACACATCCTCTTTGAGGAATGTAACGGTGGTCTTTTACCACCCAAACTGCACTACTGTCATACAGTCTCTTGAATTGGGACTGACCAAGTGTTTCAAGCGGGCGTACAGGAAGCAGCTAGTGCAGAGGGCTGTATGTTTGATGGATACAGGGAAGGGGGCCCAACCTGTGCACCATTCACTTTACTGTTTCAGCATGGCAACAAGTGACCCAGTCCACAATCCAGAACTGTTTTGTGAAGTGCGGCCATGTGAAGAATCAAGATGGGTCAGATGTGACAGAGGTCGATGGAAGTGGTGAGGAAGACATCACGCAAGATGAAAACTGGGTTCAGCTGGGGTAAAGCACTGCTGGCATGGACTTTGACGCCTGTGTGTCTGTGGACCAGGAGCTCACGATGTGCGGTGTGCTGTGTATGGAAGAAATGTGTTGTGTGGTGGGAAGTGGAAGTTGTGTGAAGGACAGGCAACGTGATGGTGGTGATGACGATGAAGCCGAGTCGAAACCATTGCTGAGTTTTACGAAGCATCTCATGCATTTGAGTCAATGAGAGCATTCGCATATGCTCACGACATCACCAAATGAGACCATGTGAACATTGTTAACACTGAAAGGTTATTATTCAGTTTGAAAGGAAAGGTGCAATTAACAAATGAGTATTTTAAGAAGTAATGCAAACTGGACTTGCAAGTCGAAATATCATTAATGTACGTTTTTTGATTTAGTAAATACAGGGTTATTCATAAGTCCGTGAAACATTTTGAAAATTTACAATAAATAAACTACACAATGGATACCAGATTTTATTACAATGAAATAGAGATAAACTCACAAAGTTTTTTTTTCTTTTTTACATAGATCACAGATGCTCAATGTGACCATATCTGCTGATATGGCAGACATGTATGCAACAATCCATTTCGTCCCACACCTGTGTCAGCATAGCATGGTTTACCAGAGCCACACCAGCAGTGATACAGTTGTGAAGCCCCTGAGATTAGCAGCCAATGGAGGCACAAAGACAGTATACTTCGCAAACACACAGAAGAAAAAGTCACACGGGGTTAAATCTGGGGACCGGAGTTGTCACCGCATTAACGCGTCATCTTCTTGTCCTGTGTGTCCTATCCACCTTTGTGGCAAAACTTGATTGAGATACCCTCGCATGTCTTTATAGTAGTGAGCCGGACAGCCGTCTTGTTGAAGAGGTAATCATTACTGTCTTCATTCAACTGGGGCATCAGCCAGTTTTCCAACATATCCAAGTAAATCATCCCAGTGACTGTGGGGTCTGCAAAGAAAATTGGTCCATAAACATTCTTTTTCAAAATTGCACAGAAGACATTCACCTTAGGTGAGTCTTGCACATACTGTATGACTACATGGGGATTTTCAGTCCCCATATGTGCACATTGTATCAATTCACCTTTCCAGACAGATGGAAAGTTGCTTTGTTGCTAAAGACGAGCGTGTCTGAAAACTTCAAATCTCTCTTGCATTTCAGTGCAGAACTTCGCCATTCTTGCTGAGATGCTGATGCAGCTGAAGCCTGTAGGGTTTACACTTGAGTCTCTTATGGATAATTTGCCAAACTGTTGATTGCAAGATGCCAAGCTCTAAACTTGCACGTGTAGTGGACTTGCGTTGGCTGTGCTCATAAGCTTGTCTAACACGATTCAGTTTCTTCACTTGGTCCTGGACGTCCTGACTGAGGAGCTGCACACAGACAGCTTTCATCCTGGAATTTCTCATACCATTTCTTCATACTGTTGAAAACTGGTGCTGCCTTCTGGAATTCTGCTCAAAATCGTCGCTGCACAGTCACAATGGATGAGGATCTTGCATATTCCAAAATAGAAAATGACTGCTCACGTTTACTGAACACCATATTTGCTACTACTGTCTTCTAGGAGCAAACCACGGCAACTATACGCGTGGGCTTAAAAAAACTTGGAGAGATTCATTCTCTATCGGCGTAAGAATTACCATGATCCGATGCATAGTTTATTTGTTGTGAATTTTTAAAACGTTTCATGGACTTATGAATAACCTTGTACATACAGGCAAATCTGATCATTTTTATTCTTTTTTTTTTTGCTGGGACCCCGATGAAAACAATGAATGGAGTTATCACTGTATATCACATATGTAATGTTACAATATTACTTTTATTTTTATTTGGTTATACCTTTAATGTTGGTAGTCCAGTTTTATTATAGTATGAGAAGAGCAGCAATACTGAGGTTAAAGTTGCCAGTCAGCTACCCAGCTTTATATAGTACATTTCAGTGGATAAAACTTCCTAATTTCCCATGGACTCTTGGTCATGTAGCATTACTTAAGCTATTTAGATAGTGTGAGGCTGTCAGATTGATAGCTGTAGTTAAACCAGATATGGTGGAAGCAAGAAGATGGGTCATATTTTACATTGCTGTTATGTGTATTAAGATTGTGGTCTTCTGGTTTATGACACTGTGTAGTTTCATGTGTGGAGCCTATAATGTCATTTATTTAGAAAAACCAAAAAAGTTGAGAATTGCCTTTCAAGTCTTGGCTTGGACACTGGCCATCATGACTGAACTTTGTCATGGTTCTCTTCATCCCTTCAGGTGAATACAAGGCCAGTACCTTGAAAAAGGCTATGACTGCTACCTTCAACAACCTTTCCAATTCATCAGTCATTAACTGTCATACCATCTGAAGTTACACAGTCTGAGCTACTGATGTCATTAAACAAACCATAAAAAAAAGACACAGAAAACCACACTCAATGACATTAAATAAACCTAATAATCAAATCTACAATCCACGATCATTAGTTACGTTACCCCCAAACACGTGAGAAGTGTTGGAAGTGGTCGGATTTGATCGATTAGGATGAATTACTGCATTCATGATTGCATCCTGTACCTACATTGTGCATTATGGAAATTCAACAGATGACAGAACACCTGTTGGCCGGCCAAGAACAAATGATAGCTGAGACAAGGGCCTGGCAAGAAGAGATGGACACAGAAACAGAAGCCATCCAAGCAGAAACAAAAGCCATGTGAGACAGGAGGGAAGAGATGATGGCCTGACAAGGAAAGAGAGAGAGTCACATCTGAAATGTGAGGAGCCAACCTCAGTGGACATGGAACCTGAGGTGGCACATCAGGAGGTCCCCAAGGACGAAGCCGCAATGATGCTGGTCACACGACTGAGGAATTCATTTTGTGCGCCTTATACAGGGAATACACAAAAGATTAACGACTCCATAGTTCACTAACTTAATTAACCTTTATTTTATACTTTACTTATGGGAAACTAGTGTCATATAATATTTAGAGTTAAAACTACTTACAAACATTCTGTGGTTAAGCAACAGTTGCAATGCCACACAACTGGTTGTAATGTTCTGGGTCTGAAAGGCTCTCCAGCATGAAAGTAGCAAGATCACATTTAGCAATTGCCCGTCCTGGCGAGGAACCATGACTTACTGTATATTTCCCACTTGGATTATCTATTCAAAAAAGAACCACAGTTATCAACACAGCATTTCACATTACTTAATTATTGGTATCAAGCTGTACCACCTTAAGAAATTATAACTAGCACAAAAAACATATTTTTGTTAAAATTTCACACTATAACAAAAGATTTATTTTAATGGTTACCTCTGCAAGCCCAGTGTCATTTATCAGTGTGATAAAGGTAAAGTAAAACTGTCCATGTGCTTAACTAATTGAGCACTACACCAAGGCGTATGGGGGAGTGGACATACAGATCCACATTTTTTTGACCTCAGCACCAGCTGAAGGTGAGTGGTCAGCTACAAGCCCCAGGGAAAGAGCCCCCAGTTCCCATTCGATAGAAGGCTGGGTGGGCCCCAGAGTTGGTCTGGACGACGTGGAGAAGAGAAAATTCTTGACCCTACCAGGACTCAAAACTCCAAGCCCTGTCATTCAGCCTGTAGCCAGCTGCTATACTGACTGAGCTATCCTGGCTCTTTTATCAGTGTGACAGATGATAATATTCATCAGGCTTCGACTTCTTGATAGGTTCAAAGCACATGCACAATGCTCAACATATTTCGTACAAGGTGTTTCTAGTAACAAATCCTGAGCCCTGATCAATTTCAAATCATTAGCTGTGTTGATCACAAGACCTATGCTTTCCTGCCTGATGATGTCTTTATGCCTTTCACAATCATGTAAGGAGCTCATGCTTCTACCTATGTGCAAATAAGCAATGCAGCCAACACATGATTTAAAATAAATTCCTGTGGAAACTTTCTAGCTCACCTATGTATGTAAATAGATATGACTGCTGTTGTTCAATTTGAAAGATTTATGAGTATACTCTCTTTTTAAAAATTCATATGGGTGAGGTCGGAGTAAGCCTCTCTCAGTGTGCATCCTTACATCCCACAAACTGTATTTTATCAGATGCAACATAGAAAGAGAGAGCGAGACTGTGTGTGTGTGTGTGTGTGTGTGTGTGTGTAGGTTCTTCATAGTTGCCATCATCTGGGATGTGGCGCTGTGTAAAAATTGTTATCACGGTTAACACAATTTCTACACAGCACCACATCCCAGAAGATGGCTTTCTTCATAGTCACCACTGTGAAAACCTCAAATCTTAGTTAACTCAGTGTCGGATGCATGCAAAATATCTGAACTAACATGAAGCAGTGGGCCATGCCTTTATACATTTCAGCAAGCCTTCACTAATCTGGATTAACTGGGGGGAGTGGTCATCCAGATTAAGCAAGAATCTATATTAATGAAGCAAAAGATACCCCCAAAGAACAAAATAAAAACCACTTAGAAAACAAATAAATGAAAAATTTAATAATGTGGGTAGTGCTGATAAAAATAAATAAAAAACAATATCAATGCAGCAGTTTCTTTCTGTGAGAAGCTAAAACCCAGGGTCTCCCTCATCCAGCTCAAGCCAATCTTGGGTATTTTATTGCATGGTATCAATCTCTCCAGCTACCCACAACACAGTCTCCAAGTCCTCTCACTCCTAAATCCCATGTCTTTTAAAGTATTGCGGCATGTAGACCTGATGCTAGGCAATGATGGCGAAAGATACAGTTATACAATAGCTGTTACTGAGTAATGGCTATGGAAACAGCAACAAAAGAACGGTCCATGCCAAGATGTTATAAGCAGGACAGCTTATACAGATGGTCCCAAGACAAATAAAGGCACTGGAGCTGGTGTGTATTGCGATGGAACAAGGCAGAAGCTTAGTTTCAGGCTTGGTCAGTACACAGCAGTCTTTCAGGCAGAAGTGTATGCCATTAAGACATGCACAGTTGAGAATTTACACAAGAACTATAAAAATAGGAACACCTACATTCAAATCAGATAGTTAAGCTGCAATTAAAACACTTGGTAAACAACAGATCACTTCAAAACTGGTGTGGGAGTGCCACCAATCTCTCATACAACTGGCAAAACATAGCAGAGTTCAGCTGATATGGGTGCCAGGTCATGAAGGTACTGCTGGTAATGAAACGGCAGATCAGCTGGCAAGAACAGGATCTGAACGTCCGTTCACAGGACCTGAGCCAACTTCCGGCATCTCAGTTGTGCAGGAGCACAACACAACAAAAGCACAACACACAAGATAGTGAAGGAGTGCTCCAACAAAGGAGAATGGGCGTGACTGACGTAGTGAGGGGCGACGTAGCGATGTGGTATCCTGAACAATTTTAATATTGTAACGTGTGACAATGAATATGATAGATACATATTTTAGTTATTTTAATGTGTGAACATGGCATGCAATGAACTGGTTTGACGTGGATAAGTAAGCACCTGAAGATGGCATTATTATGCCGAAACATGTAGTGCGAGGGAGAGAAGGAGTTAAATGAGTGTATGCACTGCAAGACAGATTAAATAAATCATGAAGAAAGTATTTACTATAAAAAAATGCACAGTTAAATTAATACATGCAAAGAATTTAAAAGAAACATGTTGCTTCAACTTCCCTCATCAATACGAGTGAAGTGATTCTTTGTGGCAAAATGTCTCACAAACCCCAATCCCACTGACTTGATATTAGCAGATTAAAATACCAAAATCTAAGAAATACAACTTCAAAGGTCAAATCTGAGGACCCTCAAATATAATTGTTCTGAATATTCTGGTGTAAAGGTCACTGGAAAGGGCATTAGCTCTGAAATGAACATAACATGAGCTGTATGTATCAATTACGGCAGAAGTCATACCACTTTTTCTAATAAACTTGTGCCAAAAAAAAAATTCTCTCAACTTTGGATGTTTGCTGTCCAAATTCTAGTTGCTATGAAGCAGTAAAATTTGACAGGAATGTTTATTTCCATTGGAACTGCAGTCTCACAAAAAAGAAAAAGTCTGTTATGATGGGGTCAGGTTGGAAATGTCTCTTTTTTGTTTTGATATGGAATGACCCTTTCAATAAATTTGGCTATAAGAATATAAGCCACCATATACCACATTTAATATTACTGTAGCTATACTTATTTAGGTTATACAGTAATGCATATTCACAATGTATACTGTATCAAACATGCTCAATTAGCAACTAGCAATTTTCAGGTTTCATTAATCAATTTGCAGAGCTGATGTAATAACCATAACTTTTAATAATGTTTTAATACATGATTTTAAGTTCTCACAGCAGTAAATGCGAAGATTATTGTCTTCTTTACAACCCAGAATATACTAATCCAAATGCTATGAATAAATTACTTGATATTAATTAATGACACAGGAAGACGGCAGGTTACCAGCTGGAATGTGTTGTGCAATTGCACAAAATGAGGTGACTGTTCTCAGTTGTACTACTTATTAAAATTAAATTTGGCTGTAGGTAAGTCATGTGGATACACGCTAAAGAGGCAGATGTATATTATCAATGTACTATAAAGCTCTTCCATATATTTGCATAACAAAATACTGATTGTCACCTGTTAAATGTGGAGGCAGAAGAGCAATCCAGTTCAGTCCACTGGCCTTGAGAGAGTCCAGCATGCGTTGATGTTCAGCATTTAAATAATGGAATCTTGCTGGCACTTTCCCTGGCTCATAAAATAAGAATGCTGCAACAGAAATAGCAATCAATGCCTGTATTCCACATGAAGATTGATAAAAATCTGCATAATTTTTATAGTACGCGCCACGTACCTGATAAACAGACTGAAACACATTTTATTCCATTTTCTTTCATGACTGTTATAATGTTTTTCATACCCTCTGATAAAACTGTGGTAGGGCCTGAAAAATAATAAACAAATACATAACAGAGCGAATATTATTCAGAAAATAACTAAAATCTCCTTAAATGAATGTTGCCTATGAGATGCTAAGGTCAGCATGCTCTGACAGAAAGCACAACAGACCACTGTAGGTTGCAGTGCAAGGGCTGAGAGGACCCACCCCTTATACATACATACATACATGTATATACACACATACACACACACACACATACATACATTCATTCGTTCATTCATGCTCTGACCAACTCTACATGGGCATCTATGATTTTAGTGCTGGGGTTCAGTTTTGGTTTCACAGATGGAACTAGCAGTAGGTATACACTGTTACAACATGAATGTCCTCTGATTATTCCTATGCGGTAGTGTTTATGAATCTGGCTTGTTGAATTTGTTTTCCATTTCTTTTTCTGTCTTAGTTTCAGGTCTGTACATGCATTATCACAATTTTTATTGTACATTTTCCTGCTATTTCCCAAACCCTAATCTCAAGCGGATATACCACAGTAATACTGACACAGATTGCAACAGTAGAAGGTTGCATTGACTCCCACAGTCATGCGACAGGAAATAAAATATGACGAGTCTTGGGGGGGACTTGGAACCACTTGGAACCAAAAATGACTGCTACTGAGGGCCAGCAGCAATTTACCCAACTAATGGACATGTGCTGTCCAGTGACGGAAGGTTTATTCTTTCTAACAGACTCAACAAAACAGATGTCTTTGAACCCTGTGAGGAATTGAGACAGCTTTCCTCTTTAATTCCTTGACTTATGATCCATGACTGCATAGCGTTTGCTCTACTAGTTGTTGCGTGTTATTTGCCGGGCAGTAACAATGTTACCCCAGAAACTGGATAAACTTCAATGAAGGTTCGTTGCCTGGGGACATCTTGTTGTATGGAGGTTCGTTGCCTGGGAACGTATTGTTGAAAAGGTTCGTTACCAGGGAATGTCTTGTGTATAAAACACTGCATATGAATATTCTTGGATATTAGGTGGAGCAGTGCAGAGTTCAAAGAACCCTGTGTGGAGGTGGAGTCGAATACCTCCACCGTGACCCTGCGAGTCGTAGGAGGCGACGAAAAGGGAAGTCTCAATTCTGAGACAGTAAAATATGGTCACGAGTCCCAAGGGACTCGGACCCGAGTAAGAGTGCGCTGGCAAGGGCCAGCAGCGTATACAAAAGACAGACCCGTCCTCTCGTCAGAGAGGGCGCCCCACAGAAACACGACCGTAACTGTCAAACGATAATAATTAATATCTGGTCATGAGCCCCAAATGGGACTCGACACCAAGACTTACTGACTGATTGACCATCAGTCGCAATGTGACTTTGACTTTGACTATGACTCTTGGATATTCTCATCTGAGAGGATCTTACATAAGGACTATTACCGCAAGAGTTCAGTTAGAAAAAATCTCTGGTTGTGGGCCTCAAAGGGCCTGACACCAAGACGAACTGATTGGCGGTAAGCTGCCAGTCATAAAGTAACACTTAATCTTTGACATTCTAGTGAGAGTTGTTAACATGAAAGGACTGACTGTGAAATGACTTGCTCAACATCTGTCTTATAGTTAGGTTGAAATGTAGTTACATCACTGAGTAATAAAATGACGTGGCAAGAATACGCCTCGAGGTTTTATTTCACGACAACCTCACCCTTCACCTGAGGAGGGAAACAGATCCAATTTCCTGAACATTGTGCTCTTTAGAATATAGGATGATGAAGAAAGCCCAAAAACCAAGTAATCCTGAGGGTTATACCTCCTCCTCCTCCTCATCATCATCATTATCATCCTTCAGAATCTACTAGTAACATCACAGCTCAATGAAATTGTAATGTGTTTTGCCACTGAAGAACAAAGCCAGGATTGCTATTTTCAGATAATTTGGCTATTTCATCTTTTACAATCAACAATTAACAGAAAGCAATATACAAAGTTATAAAATACCGTAGAGACTAATTTAAAATATAACTTAAATTCCAAACACTGGTATTTTAAGAGAGAAGGCAGTCTGAAGAAAAACAAAAGATGGGCTGTGTACAACAAAACAGCAGAAATGCCAGACAAAATAAATTACTGTATTTAGGAGTAACATTTGAAAGCAGTGGTGGAGGGAACAGACAGAAGCTGAAGACAGCTACGTAACTCCATGGAGCTCAGCCCTTCTTGAGAAGTCCCCAGCTATGCAGCTACTCAAGAATTTCCCAATATTTTTATGGAACCTGAAGACTCATTACTATGTTCACAAGAGCTCTCCACTGGCCCCTATCCTGAGCCAGATCAATCCAGTCCATACCACCTCATCTTATCTCTCTAAGATTCTTTTTAATGTTATCGATCCACCTATAGCTTGGTCTTCCTGGTGGTCTCTTTCCACCTACCCTTCCCATCAATATCCTATATGCATTCCTCTTCGTCCCCATTTGTGCTACATGCCCTACCCAGCTCAACCTCCTTAACTTCATCATTCCAAGTATATTTGGTGAAGAGTACAAGTTATGAAGCTCCTCATTAAAAGCACAACAGACCACTGGAGTCACAGTGCAAGGGCCAGAAGGGACCACTCCTTATGCATTCATTCATTCATTCATTCACTCCTCATTATACAATTTTCTCCAGTCTCCTGTCACTTCATCTCTCTTTGGTCCAAACATTCCCCTCAGCACCCTCAGTTCATGTTCCTCCCTTAATGTCAGAGACCAAGTTTCACACCCATACAGAACCACTGGCAAAATTATAGTTTAGTATGTTCTAGTTTTTACATTTTTCAACAACAGCAAAATGAAATCAGACTTCAGCAACTATAGAGAAAAGCTTAGCATGAACACCTGATAGAAGAGTGAAGATTTTGGAAAATGTATTGTGATGTATTTGCGCTATACAGGATGCCCCAGCCAGCTGTGACATAATAACATTGAGCGCTGTCACTGCTACAGAAACAGGCCAGTCAACACTCCACCCCCTCCCCCGCGGTGACGTGGCAGCGCTTCCCACTGTGATGTAACAGGCAACACCTGTAAACAAAGTGACTAGGCAACAGGGAAGCGAGGCGCTTTCTGTTGTCTGGCTGAGGGTTTATAAGAGAACTGCACTGCCTAAGGAGTCAGTTAAAATGTAGTTTTTCTGGTCCGATGGGTTTCACTGTTGTTCTGTATTCAACAACTAACAATGGTCTACCATGCTACAATCAATTTTGCTTCGAATACAATGCCAAAGGTGATTGTATACACTTCTAGTTAAAAAGGTACTGATATAAAACTACATTTTCCATGGACGAGGCAACAGGATGAACACCTCTAGTTCAGAATATGAACCAAGTACACACACATCTTCCATGCACTGAATAATAACACACCTAAATCATTACGGGTACCCAGTGTAACTATAACAGCATCCTGTCCTTCAATGGTTTGTTGTACATCTTCAGCCTTTGTTACATCTCCTTGTATAACTTCGATACTGCTTCGAAGGTGGTCTGGTAGCTTAGAGGGATCCCTCACCAAAGCTTTTACCTGCAAACCTACATGAAGAAGGAAACCATATATTACCTACTTGTACAAAGGAAGGTATGAATGGCTAAGGTGTTTTGCTGGCCTCCTGTGCAGATTTAAAGTATGAGACTTGGCCAGATCTACGTATTTTTCATTTTCCAAACTTAATGAGTAACCTTATCAGCCATGGCATTTTAACACCTGGCATACTAGATAATGGTCTGGGGTTTGATCCCAGGGTAACTGTGACTTTCTTATGTCACATGTTACAGGTGATAATGACGCCATCCTCATTGAGGTTGGCCGAACCATGGCTGTGTCTTTGGTGGGGCCGCATCATGGACAAGGGACGCGTTGGGACACTTCCTTGTGGTTCCGCCGGGCAACGACAGTCTCGGGATCTGGATCAGTATGACCTACCAGGGCTGGTGGCTAAGTTCCCATAGAGGGCAATGGCATTATGATCGGAGCCTCCCACGTGGCGGCAAAATGACTCTTGGGTGTCACTACGGTGTACCCAGGACGAATGCAGGAGAGCACTTGTATGGGAGTAGCTTTGGCTATTTGAACTGTCTTCCTAGAGTACCTATAAGGTGCCGCAAGCCTTAGGACTCAACACTCTAGAACGGTCTGACCAACCCATGTGGAGGGGTGGGAAAGGGGGAGCTCTTAAGCCACCTCCAGGGGCGACTCTCTCATGTAGGTTGCCCTGGTTGGAACCTCATGTTGCACTCCCTTTAATCATCTGGGATACCCCTCTCCCCCCCAAACAGGCACTCTTAGTCCTGGAGGCTTGTGAGGGTTTCATTCATAACAGGACCAAACCACCTAAGCCAAGGTGTGAGGCATCGTGCTGAGGGCTGCACAGCACTGGGGTGGTAATTAGCCAGTGTCTTGAACGATCCCCTCGGGGCACCAGGCAGCACCCTGTTGTACTTATGCCTTCCACCAGTATGGGGCGCTGCAGATGGCGACCTTTTAAATCCCCATGACTCGTGGGACCAAAATGAAAGGAATGAACAAAAAACCGGTCGTAAGGACCTTAAACTGAAGAAGGACCCCGCCTCCAAGGGGATCCCTATGAGAAATGCTTCAGCTGGGGGCTGGAAGCTCTGGTGAACCACTAAGAGACCCAAGTGCAACCAGCAAACCAGCTGTTGAACTTTCAGCCAAAGGCAGGGACAAACCAATGGTTCGAAACCTACCTGAGGTAAAACCAAAGATTCCTCTCTTGGGAGTCATTAGTATTGACATACCACTACAGGAGACCACCACCTCTAGCACATCTGCAGCAGGAGAAGGATTGGGACCCCATCTAGCGAAAAAAGCCTTGTCTGGATGCGCTGGACGGAAGTTGACAAAAGCAAGAGCTGGGGCAAGCAAAGCAGGAACTGGGGCCAGTCAGCAACCAGGAAATGCAGGCTCGTCCAAGCAGGGAGAAATCCCCACCGGTACCTTTAAGAGGCCAAGGTCGGAGGGCACTACCCCTACAGAAACGGCCAGAACTCCGAAAAGGCCCAGGGACTTACAAGGAGGCTCTGACCAATATAAAGGTAGCTATCTTCAAAGCGGCTTCTGTAGTCTAGGGGTAACGTTCCCACCTCATGACTCAAGGTACACAGGTTCAAACCCAGTGGAGGTCGTGGAATTTTTAAGGGCGGAAAAATTCAGGGAACAAGTCCTCCGGGAGGGACTTTAAGCCGTGGGTCCCGTGTCGTAGATTTACAGCATGTAAAAGATCCTCATGTCTCTAGGAGATGAGACGTCTGAGCAAAATTAGGCAACAAGTTTCCCGTCCAAGTAGTTTCCAATGCCTCAGGTACCGAGGGCCAACCTCGCTGGCTGAACGGGGCTGATAGCACACACCAGTACCAGTAGGGTATGGCGATAGTAGAAATTAAAGGGGGATGCACAATGGACCAATAACTGGTCTAAGTGCATGGGGAAACCCACCCCCTCTAATAATAATAATAATAATGATAATAATAATAATAATAATAGCTATCTTCAAGGAAACTTGTCCTGATGATAAGTTTACCGAAGATGACCAGAATTCCATTCTGGAAGCACTGGGGGAGGTNAGGTACCGAGGGCCAACCTCGCTGGCTGAACGGGGCTGATAGCACACACCAGTACCAGTAGGGTATGGCGATAGTAGAAATTAAAGGGGGATGCACAATGGACCAATAACTGGTCTAAGTGCATGGGGAAACCCACCCCCTCTAATAATAATAATAATAATGATAATAATAATAATAATAATAGCTATCTTCAAGGAAACTTGTCCTGATGATAAGTTTACCGAAGATGACCAGAATTCCATTCTGGAAGCACTGGGGGAGGTGTTACGTAGGACTCCAAAGGGAGAGTTACCACACCTGAAATCCTACAGACTAGTGGGAGGAGCACTTATTTATACATGCGCCAACCAACAGTCTGGTCAATGGCTCACCAAAGCCATTGACAATCAAAGGCTGGAATCAGGGGCCAGGCTGAAGGCTACTGAGGCCAGGAACCTGCCCAAGCCTGTTAAAGTGGCTCTTCATACTAGGGACAAAGTTGTCCAGAATCAGGAAGAGCTGCTGAAATGGATTGCAGACCTCAATCCAGGACTTCATACTGAGAACTGGAGGGTACTCAATAGGCAATCTGAGTCGAAAGGCCAGAGGCTTATCTTATTCATAGACCGGGACTCTCATACCATTATACAGAGGACCGGTTATGAAATATTCACAGGACTCTCACACAGGACTGCTAAGGTGCTGAATGATCCTGAAGTTCAGCATCAGGCAGAACCTGTGCCAGATACAGTATCTTCTAACTTGGTCTCTGAGGAGGAAGGGGGATGAGATACCCACTCCACCTGAAGACCAATGCAAAACGGATCAGGGGACCCCTTCACACGGAACCCAGTCCGAGGAGGGACATAAGATGAAACTGACCCCTCGCCAACAGGAAGAGATCACTAATCCAACACATACACACAACATACACACGAGATTTCTTCAGATTAACCTACACCACAGCAAATTTGCCTCGGCAACTCTGTGCCAGCAACTAGCTGAGGGTAAGGAAGATATAGCACTTATTCAGGAACCTTGGGTATACAAGGGTTAAATAAGGGGCTTAACTAACACAGGGGAAATAGTTTACTCTGCTGTACCCAATAACAATGCAAGATCCTGTGTTTATATCAGGAAACATGTTAATGCCTTGCCTTTGCTGGAGCTCTGTTCTAGGTAAGCAACAGTGGTAAGGATAACATACATGTATCGAGGAGGCAGCAGGGAGCTGATTATTGCTTCAGTCTACCTTCCATACGACTCAGTTGAACCACCACCAACTAAGGAAATGAGGGACATCACAGACTACTGCTGTAGCAGGAAAAAGCAACTTTTCATTGGGTGTAATGTCAATGCGCACATCTTGTGGGGGAGCACAGGCACTAACCCAAGGGGAGAGAGCCTTATGGAATTTCTGGTGAGTTTGAACCTGAATATTCTAAGCCACTGTAACGAACTTACCTTTGTAGTTTGTAACAGGAAGGAGGTTATTGATTTGACACTAGGGACAAATAACATTTGAAACCTGGAGAGTAATTGGCATGTATCTGATGAGCCATCTTTATCAGACCACAGATACATATGCTTTCAAACAGGTAACATAATAATACAACAAGTTACCTTCAGGTATTCCAGGAGAACCAACTGGGAGTTGTACAAGGACGACCTAAAGGTGAACCTGAAGATTATTTTGCGAAATATACACACGATAAGGGACATAGACAGATCTGTTGACCAGTTGCAATGGGCCGTCATCTTGTCCTGTTATCATAATTGTCCAGCCAAGATCACTCGTTTACCAAGGAATGCACCTTGGTGGAATAAAAAGCTGAGTGGGCTAAGAGTTAAAACAAGAATGCTATTTAATATAGCGAAAAGGACAGGGCAGTGGGACACCTATAAGGAAACACTCACCTGTTAAATAAAGAAAAAAGGAAAACCAAACAATCCTCATGGAGGAGGTACTGTCAGGAGATCAAGATGTACCAGGCAGTGCCAGACTCATGATGGTCATGGCAAAACAGGCGACCAATAAGGCCAGCTCTATCAAGCTGCCTGATGGCAAGTATACCCAAACTGGATAAGAAACACTGAAGGAACTGTTTAGAGTTCACTTCCCAGATTCAAAGTTGATTGATGATTTAGTTGATGAGCGGGGCCAGCAGAACCTGGACATATGTGGATACATAACGAAGAGGGGAGACTGGAACCTGGCTGGTCGGGTAATCAATCAATCAAAAATCAGATGGGCGTTAGATACCTTCAAACCATTTAAGTCTGCGGGAACAGATGGTACTGTATCAGCACTTCTGCGGCAAGGGGCGGAACATTTAGTCCCACACCTATGCCGCATAATTAGAGCCTGCATGGCGCATAGGATTATCCCTACAGCCTGGAGGCAAGTTAAACTGACATTTATTCCGAAGCCCAGGAAACTTGATTATACCGAGGCTAAAGCTTGTCATCCTATTAGCTTATCGTCTTTCCTTTTGAAAACTATGGAGAAAGTGGTAAGACATATTTGGGAAGGTGCACTGAAAATTCATCCTCTGCACCGAAACCAGCATGCTTACCAAATATGTGAATCTACTGAAACTGCAATGGATAATGTAGTAACACGCATAGAGAATGCTACTGAACACGAGGATATTTCCCTGACGTAGAGGGAGCCTTTGACAGAACCTCCTTTGATACAATAAAACAGACTGCTGAAAGGCATGGCATTGAGCTCGCAATATGCAGATGGATCTGTACCATGCTGAAATGCAGAAATATAAGTGCTACAATGTCTGGAGAGATCCTGAGAGCGTCTGCGGCAAGAGAGTGTCTGCAGGGGGGCGTTCTTTCCCCTCTCCTGGAGAGCCTGGTTGTGGATGATCTTCTTTGGGAGCTCAACAGTACAGGCCACTTCACAGCAGGATATGCTGATGTATAGCAATCCTAATTAATGGAAACAGCCCTGTATACAGCTCAACAGTACAGGCCACTTCACAGTAGGATATGCTGATGTATAGCAATCCTAATTAATGGGAACAGCCCTGTATACAGCTCAAGAGTACAACAGTTGATCACAACGCTTGCAGCCAAAAAGGAAGAACACATCACAAGACACAATACACACAAAATATAGGATGAACGACTCCCATAGTGGAAGAATGACGTAGTACGCGAGTTTGAGTTATGACGTTTAAGATGATCGATTTTAACAAATTTTGATATATACAAATTTTATTATAGTTAGTGAAGAGTGTACATTTTAGATATTTATATATATGACACATGATGGCGAGCAATGTAATAGCTTGATGTAAATAACACACCTGAAGATGGCACAGTGATGCCGAAACACGTAATGAAGTGACATGTGAAATTGAGTGCCCTACAAGATGGCCAATATAAATATCATGGATCTTTAATATAAGCTTCACGTTGTACACCTGCAAGTTGTTTCATGTCTATAGACACACAGGTGACCATTAGGAAGAAAGGAGCTGCTTTCATAGACGCTCTGCCAGAGCTGTGAATGTGCCTACTAAAGTGTCATTTTATGCTACAAGATTAAGATATTTTTAAACCTTCAAGCATTATGAACTGTTAGGTCATTCACTGCTTCTCAACCTCCACCAAAATTTTTGAAATCGGTAATCCTGTTTCGACCCCTCTGCCTTTTCCAAAGTGTCCTGATATTTGCTATAATCATTCTATTAACCTTCACTAGTCTTGCTTATTCCAATTATCCTACTCATTATACTGGGTAAGAAAAAGACCACATCTAAAATTATGATTCAACAATTATGCAGAGAAATAAACTAATATTACAACTGTATTAACAAAATTAAAATATGAATCATACCTCTCTTCAAAGCTACTTCTGTCGCGTGTAAACCAACACCTCCTGTAGCACCAAAAATAGCAATTGTCTTCATTCTTTATGATTACGTGACAAAAGACATATCACAAGCCATACGTTCCGCAGCCTTCCACAGTTTCCACACAAACCGCCAAATCACGCCGATCACGCCTATCACGCCCACGGAACACTTGTATTCACTTGTACGACTAGTTCTCCTTGTACCCACAGAACACTATGTGTCGGTAGCGGTCGGTAGCGATTAGAGTGTTTATAGTTGTAGCGGTAGAAATCCGGTTCTGGTTAGGTGACATAATTGTGGCCGATTGCGGCTTGGAATAGAAGGGTTGTTAAATTGATCTGTTTAAGTGTGATTAGTGTAAACCAAATTTTAATAATATAAATACAGACAGGAAGACGTGAACAGTGTGGGTGTCATAATGTGACTATCAGTGATTCTGCCATGTATTCACGGAAGTAATATTAATCTTATAGAGATAAGGTGGTGTTTACTGGCCGATTCGCGATTTTGGCCAACGTTTATTTGCAATTTTTTTGTCAGTCATTAATGCTGTGCTCGCGGTTACTACTACAAAATATCACCTCAGTGTTTGAAGGATCCAGGTCTCATTCGTAAACAGAATGTCTTGAAAAGAAGTGACATCATACGAATGACGTCATTTCAGTAAACAGGTTGGGAAGTGGTGTTTGACATCGGCGGGCAGTTTATTTGGTCTTGGATGCACGAAGACATGCTTGTTATTTTTATTTCATGAAAAATGGTAGTACTTGAACAGTACTTGCAGCTGTATGAAAGAGATTCACAGTTGGTATCATCTGCATGGAAAACTTTCCACCTGTTTTTTTATGTTATCATTGCTTTTAGTGGAATTGCAGGAAGTTCTGCTTTTAGTCAGGTAGTACTGAGTTTCGGAGGTAATTGTGTCTTGCACAGTAATGTCACCTTCGTTACTGACAAAAATGACAATGGTTCATCATTTCTAATTATTGATTGTGTCAAGTCAGAATGGGGAAAACAAAGTGACTGCTCATTTTGCCAGTATGTGCCTGTTTGCTCAGTGATTTTTTCAATTGTATGGATAACTTTCTTTTTAATGTGTGGAAGAGGAGGAAAAACTGCTCGAGGGTAAGAATCTAACATAGTGTTTGTTATATGTTGGTTATCATTGGAAAATTATTATGTTAAGAACCATAGACAAAGATTTGAATTACATTATCCAACTTATAAATCAACCAGGGCTCAAAAGGGAGTATCTTACACTGCAATTAGAATATTTAATAAATTACCACATAGTATAAAATATTTATCACAGGATTTAAATAAATTCAAATATTCCCATAAAAATTTTTTCAGGTGGGCTCTTTTTATTCTTTAGATGAGTATTATAAATGGAAAAAAGGGATGATTGTGTTAATTACAGATAAATAAAACAACACTAGTCATTTTTAAAAACTTTTATTGTATGATACCTATAATTCTCTAGATGTGCTTTTTCTCTATTATAGACAATGTTAATATGTATTTTATTATGATAATAAGTTGCAATGGAATTGTTATATGCATGTTTTGTTTAATTATTACATTGTCCTTTTGGGTTTGCATTGTAAGTAAGAAAAAAAAAGGGGGGAATATTGATGTGATTTGTACAGGGTGGGGCACAGAAACTTCCTTTTTTTGAAGGCAAATAAAAGAAAAATTATTGCTGATAGACAAAATTTATGTTTAGCTAATGAAAGAACATACTTTAAAGTTTTAAATTATGTAGTTTTAAACAAAATATCTTGAAGGTGGTGGCCACCGTTCTCTATGCACTGATGCAACCATTTTCTGAAGTTCCCCTCTGCACATTCCAACATGTGCACCAGAATTTGGGCTACTTACTGCCAGATAACATTCTTCAGCTGAAGCAGGTTTGTGGAGCGATGTTTAGAAAACTCTGGTTTGAGGTATCCCCATAAGAAATATCATAGATCGTTAGATCAGGTGAGTGCGTTGCCCACGGGATGTCACCTCGAAGTGAGATGAGCCGTCTGGGGAACTTTGCCCTCAAAACTGTCATCGAAGCCCGGGTTGTGTGGGCTGTGGCACCATCCTGTTTGAACCAGACATTTCCTAGATGCATTTCTTCAAGAGCTGGTTCGATAAAGTTTTTAATCGTGTCCACATACCACTGTGAACTGACAGTAACTGCATGATTGTCTTCTTAAAAAAAAAATAAGGGCCAATAACTCCAACTCTCGACAGCGCACACCATACTGTCACCTTATCACTGTGAAGTGGCCTCTCATGGAGCTCTCTGGGATTGTTACCACTCCAATAGCGCATATTCTGCTTGTTGATATCCGGATAGGTGAAAATGTGCCTCATCACTAAAGAAAACAAGTGCATCAGGGGGTAAAGTTTCCAATAACATTATTCGGTTCTGGAAATCACGTGGTGACAATTCTTGCACAACAACCATCTTATAGGGATGGACATGAAGATGTTCGTGAAGAATTCGGCGCATTGAACAATTGGATATATCAAGGGCGACTGCATGTTTGCGAGCTGAGCATCTTGAAGATCTAAAAATCGACTGTCGAACTGCCTCCATGTTTTCTGGCATCGTAACCGTCCGTTGTTGTCCTGATGATTTTTTCACCACACTCCTGGTTGTCCTAAAGTTCTCTACCCACAAAACAATCTATTTCCAGTCGGGAACCGGACATCTGGGCTTAATTCTGAAGTGAGTACGGAACGCACGCCACACCACCACGTAGGAATGGTTGTTCGAAAAATAGGCTTTGACAGCAAACGCATGCTGCTCACTCGTCCACCTCATGTTTCCTACTAAGGGCTATTAGACAGAAATTTCTGCGATTGCTGCGTTCGCCGATCCTATACCCAATTTTCTGCTACCTCCTTTCCCTTCACAATGCGTCTTCACAAAAAGGAAGTTTCTGTGGCACCGTGGAGCATGGTGTTGATGACAGTAAATTTACTTGTATCAATAGTTATTGCAACAATGGTTGTATATAAGTTGTAATATTTTTATGACATACTCTGGATTGATTTTATAGTAACCTGGGCTTTGACGTGTTCTGTATCTGGAGGCGCCATCGTCAAATGTAGATGTGATGAACAAAAATAAATTGAATTGAATTGAAAAAGAATTCATTAGCCACAAACCTCAATTATGTACCAGCAATGTCTCCACATTTGTGGACATCCTGTAAATGTGTGTGACATAAGTACAGAGAACAGACCATGTCATATTGCTGTTATTGTCTCTACCCCTCTCCAGTAATCTCCAATGTTGCATGTCTGACTTCACCTCTCAACAGGAGCAGTGAGTTTTTGCAGAACTGCTTAAGGGCCCACCAATGAGTACTGGGATGTCTTTCCATAAGGGTAAAATTGTCATTTTGTGAAACTGTCTATGCACCTCTTTGTAATGCAGAGGTCTCAAAACTGTGCAGTTCTACTACCATGTCTCCTGTATACCTTTATGCAGGTCTGAGAAAGTGTTTGCTGTGGGCAAGTTAACAGACTGGCAATGAGCATGAATTTATTTATGTGACATTTGCTTTGCCAGGGAATCTTTACTTTACAGTGCCATATTTAGGCACAAAGACCTCTTTACATTATTTTCAAATATTTAGATGTAACATTTCTGATGACACGAGACATCTGTTTCAGATTGCCTCAGCCATGGCGAATTGTACTTCCAGCTTTGATTTTCAACATCACATTTCTTGGAGTTGCTCTCGCTGCAGCATGTAAATTGCAAGATGGCATCAATGTCTTTTGCAACTTTTTTCAGGATGATATGGATGAAACAAAGTAAGGTCCCATGTGCACATACATGTGTATACATAGAAAATTGTCATCAACAGAATAGTGCTAGTGAGGTCCATGGTAAAAAATGTCAATATTTTAGTACAGAATAACATACATTTGTTTTGTTTTTAGTAACTAATATAACAGCAGAAATAATACTAGTCATTGCTTAATATCTGTATGACCAATGACTATTTACAGTTAGCTGTAGAAGCCAGCCAAAATTATAGGCCACAGATTATTTTGTGCCTGGATACTAATGGAACGCCTACAGAATTCATGTCTATTACAAAACCATATATTTAATTGCTCCATTCCCAAGAGAAATGAAGGACATGACACTTGAATGGATGGTTTCACCACTCACAGTTGTAGTCTTGTGTATGGTTCCATCCATCTTACCAGGATGAGAAACAGTATGAGGAAAGTAAATGCTAATGTTATTGCCTAGAGCTTGTTGAAGTGTCAGGTTTTAATTCAAGATGTCTTCCATAGTAACTGCATCACCAGCCCATTGTTGGTAAGCCTGTTTGGCTAGGTATAGAAGATCATATAATATCATATAATTGCTATTGACACTTTGAAGATAGATGGATAAAACCTTGTCTTCAAAGACAGTTGGAAAGGAGTTCCACAGATTATTAAGGATGTGCACAGTTTAAATCTCAGCAGGGGTGCTGGTACCATGTCTAAAGTTTTTTTGTGCCTTTCTTCAGTTCCGCTAGAGAAATTCCAGGTTAGCACCGTGATTAGGCCATGACTGTTTCCTTACAAATCCTTTCCAGTTCATCATTCACCTGTTATTATACTGTCCAGTGCTATATATTCTCGACACAGTGTCATTAAATTTACGCACAGAAAGAAAAGAAAGCTCAGCTACAGGAAGCAAGGTCCAGGCAGATGTAGTTCCTGATCCTAATCATACGTGCATATCTGCACCTTAGTGTGGAGGAATTAGATTTAACCCACACATACACTGAAAACTATTCTACCTCTGTCAGTGACAAGGACTGTTCCACAGAGAACACTGGGGCATGTGGTAGCATAGTTGCTTGAGGCATTGTGATACAAGCCAGAAGGTAGTGGGTTCAAGTCATGATGAGGTTGATTCTTTCAATTGACCTAATCTTTCAGCCACACTATGGCCCTGGCATCAACTCAGTCTTTAACAGAGATGAGTAACAGGAATCTTCCTGGGGGTTAATGGGCGGCTAGTGTGTAAGCCAGTTGTCTAGAGAAAATGTGGGAGCCTCAGTGTCTCACAACCCAATGGGCCTTAATTGCCTGTTACAGGGATAACTTTACCTCTTTTTTTTTTTTTTCCCACAGAATATTTTTTGTTTCAGAATCCTGAAGCCAATTAAATGAGGAGGTAACTGTGATGATAGACTAATTGGATAGAGTGGGAATGTTGGTGCTGCTAACAGGAAATAATGTTATGAAGAGTATAGGAGAAGCTAGGTAAATGTAAATGGACATTAACAGCATGGAGTATAGATGGGAGCTTCAGTGAAGCAAAGTAGATGCACCCCATAATTAAAATAGTCATCTCTCCATTGGCCCTATCACTTTTGAAATAGTCATAATGGTGGACTGTGTAATTGTTAAGGTTTAGTGCATGTGCAGGAAAGAGATGCATTTCCTGGAGGCAGGTTATAAGTGGGTCATGATGTGAATTTAGACCTTGTACATAATGGAGCCAAACTGCATTCCTAATTTCAGAATCTAACTTTTCTGTTAGTCGCTTGTTTAGTTTTTGGTTTTCTCTGTAGAACCTCTGAATCAGTTTTTCAGTTTCTGTTTTGAGATCTGCTTTCATGTTTTCTTGTAATTTTTCAAGTTTAGTCTCTATCGCTCTTTGAAATCTGTCATAACTTTCCCTAGTTTCTCTATAATTAGTTTATAGTTTGTCTTGCAAGGTTTCTTGGCTTTCTTTCAATTCTTTTGATTTCTCTTCTGGAAAAATGGGACACTACTGCTACTGAATGCATATGCTCTGGAGCAGTTAACACATTCATATTCATATACATTTATTTCCATAGATCCATACGAAGTATAAGGATGTGGAAAATGTTATAACCAGGGCCCAGATTTTGATGACCTAAAAATATGTTAAAAATGACGTATAAAATGACCGAAAAAATCCAGGAAAATGACCTAAAAGTTAAGAAACGACCTAAAATGTATCATGTGGAAAATCTTCTAATTGACGTTTGCCATTTAGCTAGCCTCCATATCACAGATCTCATCAATAAAAACGAAAATCTTCTTCCCATACACTATATTCCTAATAATTTCCAGGATATTGTTGTAGCAATTGGAAAGGTAGTTTTCCTTAGGGTGGATTCATCCAGGATAGAACGACCACAGTTCACTTCCAGGAAATTTTTCGGAACTCAAAACGGAATATTTGCGGACACCAGAGCATCACACAGATCTGTGAAAAAATCCGATGACTTATTTCTGCCTTCATATGAACACTGCTGCAGTAACATTTGCACAGATTTCTTTTGTTCAAAATTTGCACTGCTCGTATATGCTAGTTGTGACCTTCCACCCTGTAGCATAGTGCCCCAACAAACTACACTACTACATGGCCCTTTCACATAAGTAACATCCTAATTTTTCCTGTGAGGTCTTCCTTGAAACTTGATAGTCATTCAGCTGGTCAAAATGTTTCATGGTTTTAAGGAATTTGAATATTTATAAAAGTCTATCACTCGATTTTATGCGTCTTCACACTGGCTCTCTTTAAGATAATTTTTCTTATAAGTTCTATGTTTGTTTCTTCAGCTGTCATGATCTTGCCAGATATCAGCTGGTAGAAGGAAATACAGGCTTGATGACCTACAGGTACATGAAGGCTGCCCAGGTGAGTCATTGCAACATTTGCATGTAACTGGAACTTTCATCTTCTTCCATAGATGGTTCCACTTCATGCTGTTCTTCTAGTAACCAGACTTCATATCATTTAAAGAGTATAGCGGATTTCCCTACCAGAGTTACCTGTACTTCAGCGACTGCAATTGATAATTTTTTATCAAAAAAGTAGAAACAAAAAATTTTTAATAACCTCAGTGTCTAATGGGCTATCTGATCACAATGCCCAAATTCTCATTTTGAAGAATCTAACATTTGCGAACCTACCTAATTATTCCATTACTAGAAGAGTAATAAATGAATGCACAATTATGGAATTTGGTATGAGTCTTAGTCATGAATCTTGCGCTGATGTTTTTAACATAAGTGATGATGTGAACGTGATGTTCAGTAATTTTCTTAATACTTATATAAGAATATTTGATCATAGTTTCCCCTATAAAATGTATTTCTTAAATCAAAAGAATCAACTCTGGATAACTACTGGAACTAAGGAATCTTGTGCCGATAAAAGAGAGCTGTATATGCTTAGTAGGAAAACTCAAAATCCTGAGCAAATAAGACACTATAAGAAATACCGTAAGGTGTTAACTGATTTTATAAAGGAAGCAAAAAATCATTCTATAATAAGCTAATTTCTAACTCTAAAAACAAAATTAAGACTTCTTGGGGCATCATTAAAGATGCCACCAATACCAGACTTGGTAATAATTTGGTCCGAAGTATAAATATTGAGGGTAAACTGTGTAACAATGTACAAATAATACCTGATACTATTAATAATTATTTTTCTGCTCCGGTACACCAAACTCAACCTAGTTCATCTTCTAAGGTCGTGGATTCCTTAAACAATCTCTTCAAGGTATTTCAACATCCATTCCCTAATATAAATATGACTGCAGTAACCACCTATGAAATTAAAAGACATAATTAAGTCTTTAAAATTGAAGAGTTCACATGGATATGACGAGATTCCGCAGAATATTTTAAAATGAAGCCTACCGTTCATTCTCTCTCCATTAACGTATTATATGTAATAAACTACTGAGCCTTGGTATTTTTCCAGACCGCTTGAAGTATTCTCAAGTTAATCCCATCTACAAAAAGGGTGACAGGTCTGATATTGTTAATTATGGACCCATATCTTTGAAGACATTCTTTTCCAAGATTTTCGAGAAAGTCATGTTTAGCAGACTGCAATATCATATCGGTGTAATTGAGATATTTGTGCAAGAACAATATGGTTTTCAAACCAAATCAACTACTGATATGGCTACCTTTACCTTAATAAAAAATATCCTATTGGCACATAATAACAAATTAGCTGTTGGAGGATTATTTTGTAATTTAACCAAGGCGTTTGACTGTGTCAGTCATGACATATTGCTTTCTAAATTGGAGTTTTATGGCATCAATAGTATAACAGGGAAGCTGATTAAATCTTACTTGACTGATAGATATCAAAGAACTTTAATATGTAAATAATAATTATAGAAAGGGCGTTTCTGAATAGCAAAAGGTCAAACAGGGTGTTCCACAAGGTTCGATACATGGGCCTTTGTTTTTTCTGTTGTATATCAATGACCTGCCTTATGCAGTAAATTAATCATCCATACCAAATTTGTGTGCGGATGATACTAGTGTACTGTGTTCAAATTCTAATTCCACAGAACTTGAAACTACCTTGAAAGTGATTCTGCTAAAAATAAATGAGTGGTTTTCACACAATTTGCTAACACTAAATGTAAGTAAAACCAATTGTGTCTACTTTGCAACAAAATTGAATCTGTTAAAAAACTTAAATATAATATATAGTGATACTTTAACCGACAGCACTTGTAATGTCAAATTTCTTGGCCTAATCATTGATAGTACTTTGTCCTGGAAAGATCATATTAATCAATTAGTAATTAAGCTGAGTTCGGCTGTCTATGCCATCAGAACTTTATCTTCCGTTGTGTCCCAGGAGAGTCTACTGATGACCTATTATGCCTATATACAGGGGATGGACAAAAATATGGAAACACCCAACAAAAAACACGTTACCGTGACTAATATGGTGTAGGACAACCTCTGGGTTACAGAACTGCTTGCAGTCTCCTTGGAATGGATAAATAGAGGTCCTGTATGATTTGCAAGGGAATCTTGTACCATTCTTCCTGAAAAACATGGTAAGCTCTGTTATCGATGATGGAGGTGGATAGCGCGCACACAGATTGCTTTCCAAAACAAACCACAAAGGCTCAGTAATATTGATATCTGGCGATTGTGGGGGCCATGGTGTTCGAATTCTGTTGGCTCTGACGTGATGCACAAAAAATTGCACAGAACACTGTCTCGACAACAAATGAAGCTTGCAACATATTGCAGAGGTTGTACAGGTAGTGGTGTTGGGCAGATACAACAGCGTGACCCACAAACATCGCTAAAATAAACACTTCAATTCAGGCATGCATTTCACGAGTTTCCATATTTTTGTCCATGGAATTATATTTTGAGGCAATTCTGCTAACCGTGATTCAAAAAAGAACAGTTAGAATCATTATGAAATCTAGAAAAACGAACTTTTGTCGTCCATTGTTTAGGTATCTAAATATTCTTCTGTCCATACCACTGTATCCTGTTATTTATTCGTTTATTTTCCAGGATGCTCAACTTTAAGATCAGAACTTTATTAAACCTGTTACTTTCTACACTTTGGGTTGCCAGAGTTCACCTCCCAGGTCCTACATTCCAGCATACCACTTAAATTGCTATTCCCACAGTACATCGTTTGGATATTGTACATTAACATTTTTATTATACATATTCTATTTTCATCCCTACTTATTACTAGTCAGGGGTGCATGGCAGTGTAGTTGGTTGAGGCACTATGCTACAAGCCAGAAGGTCGTGGGTTCAAGTCCTGATGAGGTCAATGGATTTTTTTTTTTCACTTGACCTAATCCTTCCAGCTGCACTGTGGCCCTGGGGTTGACTCCACCTCTAAGAGAAATGAATACCAGGAATATTCTTGGCATGTTCTTGGGGATAAAGGGCTGCCAATGTGTAAGCCTGGCAACCTTCCTGCCATCTATGAGCTGAGTGTCTAGAAAATGTGGGAACCTCAACATCTCACAACCCAATGTACCTCCACGGCCTGCTACAGGGATACCTTTACTTTTTATTTACGTATTACTAATCACCTGAATGTATTTCTACTTCGTTATCATGCCCTTTTAGTATGCTCTCCCATTTTTCTTTTTAGCTAATTATGTTCCTATTTTCTGATCATGCTCTTTATTTGTGAATTGTTCTTCCGTCCTAATGTTATTTCTGCATCGATGTTCCAAAATCTCTTCTCCTCTCTTCTGATTTTCCCCCCCCCCACCTCAGCATGTAGCTGCAGCCTTCCTTTTTGCTGCATATGGGGCAATCAGTGTTTCTCCGAACCGTCATCAATGTCCAGACCTCCACAGCCCTGCTCCATCCTATATGTATTTATGTGTATACTTTTTTCTATCAGTTGCCTTTCAGATTCTTATACAGTGTCAGATATTCATCTTTCAATTCTCATATTTTTCTTCTTTTTTTGTGTGTGTAATTGGATTCTAGCTCACAATATTCATTTGTTCCTGCATCAGTAATTCAGACTCTACCTTTTGTTACTTATAGATCTCAGCATGGATAAATGTGGCTGGGTGGTCAATGAGTGTAATAGTTTTGCTGATGCGTTGTTTCTGTGCAGCTGATTTTCAACTCATTGAAATTTCAGTCCTAGCTCCTACACCAGAACAAGAACAGGTAAATCCTTTCCTCTGTTCATTAGTATTGTATTTATTCTCCCCCCACCCCCATTTTGCCTGATTCGTGACCTTGAAAACAACAGGAGAATCATTTTATCATTAATGTTATATTTTAGTGTCCTGTTGCACTGACTCATGTCCATGATTTATGCTAACCGTCTTACAGTGCACACACTTTTTCACCTTACTCTTCTCTTTTGCACTACATGTTTCAGCACTAATGTGCCATCTTCAGGTGCATTTTCTCTATGTATGTCTAACTACTGCATTGCATGCCCTGATGTCTTCATACTAAAATGGCTAAAATATATATTCGTCATGTATAATAATAGATTTTAAATATTAAAACTTTCAGGATTCATCTTCTTTATGTCGTATCTCAACAGAGGAGGATTGGTGTGATTCGAGTATCTGTTAGGGTCTTCATTGTTTCCTTCTCAGCCTGAGTTCCCTGAATCCTTTGGTCAAGGGACATGAGGACATCTTCCATGCTATGTTCCATGGATTCTTCTAGCTCAGCTCAGATGGATCTTATCACGGCCCTCATTTCCTCTTGGCCATTCCTGATCACTGCCTCCATCTGTTCTTGAATTTTCTTGATCTTGGTTTCCATTTCTTCATGAATGGCCTCTGTCCTGGCTTGGAGGATATCCATCCGGGAGAGGAGAGCAGCTCCAAGGGCTTGAAACTTTCCCTTATTGGCCTCTGTCTTGACTTCCATCCTTTCTTGATTAGTTCTTATTTCAACCTTCGGTTCCCTTATAATGACATCTGCCTTGGCTTGCAACCTTGGTTGGTTTTCATTTCAGTGATCATCTCGTTGAATTCTCTGGCTAGCAGGCTTACCATCATTTGTTCCATTTCTGTGGTATGACGCTGTAACTATATAACACAATCTTCTATCCAATCCCACTTCTGACACCAGTGTCACTTGTGTGAGTATAATTTTAGGATGGATTTTCTTTGGTAATTGGATTTTTGAACTGTTACAGATGCATGACTATAAGTAATTATAAGTTTTTCACTAATTCATGCACTTTACATTTGACTAGAGCACACACTTCAGTCTTCTCAGTCTGCTGTCTTCATCAGTCTTCTGGTAACAGCATTCGACCACAGATGTTCCCCTTTACTCTGGGTTCCTGAACTGTCCGCGACCTCAGCTACCAGCTTCTAACAGCAACTACTCTACCACAGCAGTCCTCTAACTTTTTCTAACTCCTCTGCTTATAACATGTTGGCACAGTCGGCATAGAAAACACTGTATCTCTGTTGCAGTGCTATTGTTGCTAGCTAGCAGCACATTTCTGTCTCAGTTGAAAACTTTTTGTACTTTCAGTATTAAGCAGAAAGGTGAAGATGCCTAAAACTATGTAATTTCACTCACATGTGCCACTGACAGAAGGCAGCAGTAAGTTTAAAGTTGTGAAATTAATGAATAATCAGTTCAGTACCTTCAACTTTAAGCCTGTTAACTAATCTTTTATTATGTCCATCACTGCCCCACTGAAAAGTAATGTTTGTAATGTTGCAGGATTTGTCACGAAGCCAAGACAGTATTGAGGGTGGTTGTGAAGACATGAATGGTCAAGGTGATGTACCTAAAGAAAGCCAAGCTTGAATTCATGTATGTATTGTTACAGTACAAGGCTTCTTCATTTCAGCTTTTTTAATTTTCACATTTGAATGCCTATGTGATTCCATTCATCTTTAAGGCCACAAATACACTGAAACTCAACAGGTGAGAGATATAGAATCACATTCACATTACCACAAAATTGAAGAAAAATGGCTGAAACAATCTAAGACAAAAGATATTGTTTTTCACTCTTATTTTTAACAGAAATGTTATATTCAGGCACTTCATTATGTGGTTATATAAGAAGGTTATCTCAGATGTAATGGCTCAAATTTTAAAATTTAGAAAAACTGTTGCTTACAATGAAATTACAGTGTAGAGAAGTAATTTAATTCAAATGCAGTTGAACTATGGCTGTAGTAGTTTAACATGAGTTAAAGTCAAACTGTGTCAGGAAATGTGGATTCCAATTGCATTGGATGTTCACAGATTGACATATTATTTGTTCCTATTTTCTATTTTGAGATGCATTTTCATCACAAGTTTTCTGGTGGTGAATAAATGTGACTTTGTGAAAGAAGGTTTTGGAATCTTAAGTAGCCATAAGCCAGACACACGCTTGACCTTTGCTTGCCATTTTACGTGCATGTGTATAAAATCTGGAGATCAGAGAGTATGCAGTGAGCCACACAAACCATTCTGTCTTTTTAATAATTTTCCCGTCAGCACACACTGGTGGCATTCAAGGCAGCATGAGTTGGTTTAGTGAAATAGTAAACTGTAACAGCATTGCGGTAACTTTGAAAGCCAAACAGAAGACACAAAAAAGATTGATGCAAATGGTCAAAGCAGTAACTATTGAAAAGAGACCAACATTATCCCACATGAACAACTTAGCGTTACTGTCTGTTTTTAATAATGGACAGGAGTTAACAGAGTCTTGAAGTTTTCCATTGCAGTTTCTTTACCTGCATTTGGATTAGTTATACCTGAAATGTAGCAGAATCATTTACAGAAAGATGAGGAAAGAGAGTTTGAAGGTAAGTTTAGATGTGGTCACTTAAGGAAATGGAAGGAAAGTTCTTTCCAGAATTCAGTAAATCTGGGAACTTCTTGTAACTGCACATAAGAAGTGGGAAAAATACAGTAAATCTGGGAACTTCTTGTAACTGCACATAAGAAGTGGGAAAAATACAGTAAATCTGGGAACTTCTTGTAACTGCACATAAGAAGTGGGAAAAATACAGTAAATCTGGGAACTTCTTGTAACTGCACATAAGAAGTGGGAAAAATACTGTCATGTTGAATTAGTGTTAGGGTTGGATGTATATGGGTAAGAAAATTATTACAGTTGAATGTGTGATTTCAAAAGCAGCATGAATCCAAAATGTACTATGACATGATGCCTGAAAGTGATAATAGTAGAGCCAGAGAAGACATTTGTTACTAGGCAATAACACAGTGAACAGGTTTCTGCAGATTTGAACATGCATGCAACAATAGAACTGCCATTTCTACGCAATGGCTAGGTAAGCACACCTTTGTAACAATAGAGGAATTGTTGGGAAGTGGTGTTTTCTGTAGGGACCACCCTGAAACTATATAATGAGGATCCAAGGCCAGCAAAGAAAGAATTGAGGGAGTCTCTTGTGATGGCAGTTGAAGAAGATTGAGAAGAAATTGAGAGAAAAGAATTAGGTTATGCAAAGAAGACTTCATGTGTCCTGCATTCACAGGGAGACGGGTAATTACTGTATTAAAATCCACTGCCAGGATACAACTAGTGAAGACTTAGAACACACACACGTGTGTGTGTGTGTGTGTGTAACAGTGAACTGTATAGTGTGGAAATTAGTGCTAGTGCTGTATTACTTATAATTATGAGTTGAGTGTATAAGTGCAATAAATACAACCATCCAATCCAAACCCTGTCTACATTGTCAGCCCCAACATGTGGCAATGTATTCTTTAGGAGACAGAAGATCATCTTGTCTTCAAAACTGTATATTTTGGTCAAAGAATTTCAACTTCCTCCTTTTGTGTATAAAAACATTGAATTTGTGAAAGGTATTCTAAATTTTAAGCATTCAGTTTTATGAATTTAAATATTCATATATGAAAATTTCTCATGTTTTTTTAAATGTCATTCTTTTGTTAGTTGAAAAGGGAACACAGATGCCTCTTTATATTAGCTCTTTGAAGGTTTCTATTTCACCTGCCCCCATTTATATTGTCAGAGTATGAGTGACTGTAGATGGGGTTCAAATTAGTAATTGGATTTACTGACCACTTACAGATCATAACTACAAGTATTTATAGTGCTTTTGCGAATTCCCAGACTTTGCAGTTCACTACAGCATGTACTAAGTTTCTCTGCTTATGTCCTTACCAACTGACTAAATTCTGGTCTTGTCCTGCTTATGTCCCCTCATCATGAATTGCATAGAAAACACCCCTTCATTATTGTGGTTCAGTCATTGCCATGGGAACAAGTTTGTTTATGAAGCCATTACTCAGCAAATGCTGCCATAAATGTGCTTATTCTGCAGNTAGGGACACACATTGCTAGTATTCATTGAGAAGTGTTTGTTAATAGGCACTTTGTCACTGTAGGCCTTTTCCATACTGGGGCACACTTGAAGCAACTGAGTTATGTTTGAAAGAATGTGTTCTCAACCCATCAGTATACTCTCTTTCTTGTGCAGTTCATAGGCAATCTGAACTGCACCTTTTCTTCATGCTGTGACAGAGAGCTTGGATGTTTCTGATCACATGTTACTCTTCTGCCATATGATTCAGCACTAAGAACCACCTTGTAATACCTTGAATCTTAGCGACACTCTTATTTCCTTGGATGATTTTTGAAGGTTCATAATACTGTTCAGGAACAAACACTCTCCTAATGGCATATCAGTTGCTTTACTATACCAAAGTTCCAGCTACAGGAACTGATTGTCCATGGACAGTAAAGTAATACAGTATTTTACCAAACTTTTTGGTGTCTGCAGTGTGGGTAAGTACTTAACACCTGTATGTTTTCTGGTCTGACCAGGGCATCCACCAGAGAAAATGTGTAGCTCTGTGTTATTTACATGCACATGCTTTTCAATATGGCCATTCAGAATGGAGTGCATTTCATTAGGGCATTTTCTACCCTCACCTTCTTAATAACAAAGAATTCTGATTTATTGTTTGTTGTGTACTGGCTAGCCTCTGACAGTTTCAGCAAGCTGATTGGCTGTTGGTGGGAAGTACCGCTGTAAAGCCCCTAGCTACCTACTCCTTGGGCTTACATCAACCATCATAAGACAAAGAAAGAACTAAATCATGAGTTTCGTAAGAGTCACAAGACATTGAGTCATCCCCTTTCAATACATAGCTCACGGCAATTTATAGTGCATAGTAATGTACGCAATTCTCCCAAACTCGTAATTTAAGTTCTGTTAAAATACAAAAGTTACATAAAAATGTAGGTATACATAAACTAGGCGAAGTATATTAATAAAAAGAGTAATCGGTTACAATGGGAACCTGTTTACTGAATTGTTGCCTAGCAATGAATGTCTACTCTGGCTGCAAAATAAGCAGGGCTTTAAATGGAAGGTAATTTTCAGTACAGTATTTTTGCGCACCTCAGGAACAAAATGATTGGTGAACCAGTCTTCAGAAAGTAATGCAGTCAACCAAGCCCTGGAGTTTGATTTCCAAATGACTGGAAGGGTTCCCTTAACAATGCCTTTAAGTGCCCATACAGCTTAGTAGACAAGCATTGGTATTAATATACAGGTACCTGCAGCATTAGCTTCCAGCAGCAGAATCAGTCAGTATTTTGCTATGTCCTTCAAAATCATACAGTTAAATGAGGCAACTCAAATTTGTTAGCCAGATCATGCAGTTTCATGCCTGAATCATGAATTTTCAGAACTTAATGTTTAATTTCACAAGTAAGGCCTCTTCTGGGCAGCTTGCATGGTTTTGCATTTGTGTATTACTTTTACTTTTATCAGACATGGCAGTCAATAAAACATACCATTAAATGCACAGTGGTACTACAACTGCATATTAAAGTAAAGAGCGATAAGATGAAAACACATAGTTCAAATAGCAGTAACGCACTGAAGAGTCCAACTCATGTAGCTTGCTTTAGTTCTGACATGATGCGCGAAGTTTGGCACATGTGGTTATAAGTCTGAGCTGCAGATGCAAGTTAGGGATTTTTCAAGGTATGAATGTATGAGGGGTAGGCCTTCTTGGCCCTTGCATGGTGACCTACAGTGGTCTATTGTGCTATTTTTCAGGGTAAATCTGGCATGAAAAAATGGCCACAAATGTATGTGGTCATCAGTTGGGTGTTGCCTGTATTCATCTTGAATGACTTGAAGACATTTCTTTATGCAACTGCAGTGCAGGTTACAAACTATAGTCTTGCTCAATTCACTTGTGCATTTCTTGATATTATCAGTAAATGTACTGATAATATTCAGTATTCAGTGTCTGAATAGCCATATTAAATATGCACCACATACCTCCAGTCTTCTCCAGTTTTATGCTTTTACTTATGTGATAACCTGCCAGTCCTTTTACTGAGCTTTTCTTAAAGTATAATTACCTTCATTTCTCATACCTTTCACACCTTTGTACCAAGAGCTTTGTAACTATTCATTTTCTCAAATGGTGTGATCCACTTGCCTTGTCTGCTGCGCGTGATTTCAAAGAATGATGCTGGTTCTTATCCAATTAATTAGTTAGTTTCAACATAATAAGATGGACAATTTGGATGAAGTGCCAAAATAAGTAACTTCAGGTAGTCTCCTCCTAACAAATAAATTAATGGGTTAGTGTATAATTAGATGCAGTAAATGCCCAGCTCTGGTAGAACTGCATCTAGGGTCAGCTGACAGTGTGATGCTGCAAGGAAGGTACACTTTATGTACCCAGCACATCAGTCACACCTAACACTTTTCTATGCACAAATTAGCTTGAGGTTCTACACTAGTTTTCAGTGAGCTGTTATGTACTTTAATAATACCAGATTTACCTTATTTATATTATGTTACTTTCATGTATCATAATTATGTATTTCTAGATGAATTAAATATAAATTTGCTCAGATGTCCTTTGTCCGAGGTGTGTAGTTGAGGACTCTGTACAGTGTAGGGTAGCTTAAAATTTAGAATTTTAAGGGACATGTGACAGACACATCTGAACCCAACAAAATCAGAAATCCAAGTCTTCATAAGCCATTTGTATAAGTTTGCATTACAGCTCCTCCTTGAATGACTTCACTTCAAAGCTAACATACCAGTATAAATACTGGCATCTGACAGGCCACTTCAGTGTCAAGCACTCAAAACTTGTACAAGGATACAAGCATTGTGTTGCATCTGGTAAGTTGGAATTGAATACAGAAGAGCACAATAATTACACAGTCACCAAATTTCAGTATGCAGATTCCTGAATAAGAATATGCAAAATAAAAAAAAAATAAACAATATCAATTACTAATTACCCTAATTAAAGATTAATATGCTTTGGGTCATTACAGTCTTAATTTCAGGCTCACAGCTGTCAGTGATATTTTAAAACTGAAGTGTCAGTATCCACAGATTACTGTGGTTGGAAAACATTTCATTTTGAAAACCACACAAGCCCAGTACTTCTTGGGTTTTACAACTGAACATAGGAAACATAATACAATTTAAACCATAAGGACTCATTGACATGCCTTTATCTTACAAAGGACATGTACACCTAGGTCCATAAAAAATAACAAATCTTAATTAGTCATAAAAGTTGAACTTGTGTAACACACCATGTAGTGTGTTGAAAATCTGTCAGTTGGTATTCAACAGACTACATTAAATATCTCTAGAGAGCAACTGCAGTTCAGTCATTACTACCTGGTATAGTTTAAAAAGGAACAAGGTAAAAACCTGAAAGCAAATCCTATGAGCCACACAAATGCTAGGACTTTACAGTGCATACTTTGCTCTTAAAAACTAATCAGCAATAAATTTCCTTTGAGCCAAGCCGTTGACAGTACCCCTAGTTTATGTCTGTGGTCATATGTCTTATGTGTTAAGCCCAGACGCGTGGTCTGGGCCTAACACATAAGAATACAGAATGTTGAGCAAGGAGTGTGTGTGTTTGGCTATGAACACCTTTACCAGTTTTGTGTGTAAGGTGTGTATTAGGCATAAGCATGCTTGTATGACAACCTCAGCTTTGCATCTGATCCAGCTCTTGACTGGACTTGAAGTAAAGAAGCACAGTAAGTGTGAGGTAAATAGTGAAGAATTATGCATGAATAAATATAAACATACAGTTTGAGACATTCCCTTCAAGGAAACCTTATGATAAGTTTTAATTCTGTATTAGATACTACATAAAGAAAAATTTTAAAATGTGACACATGTGATAATAGCACAATGAAATCTCCTGTTATAGACTCTTGGGGCATTGTATCTAAGTTGCATTCAGCATTCATCTCATCAATTTTTGAATGTGTGTATATTCGAGATAGTTCATTTCATGTCCATAATTGATTACTGGTATTGCAGTTCCATTTATATTCAGTGAGAATGAAACGATTACATCCAGAAGAAAAAAGTTGAATAAATCAAGGCTTTCTGAGGTTTGAACCAGTATGATAATTGTGCAAGAGTTCTGAATGTGTCCAAATGTGTGAAGTATCTATACCAGGAAGGTTCCAGTGAAACAGAGACCACTGCATTTACAGTTGCTACTAGATGTAACAGGATTTCTCAGCATGTTGTAGTATGAAGCATATAAATTTCAGTTTTTGTTGTTGCAGTCTGTCTGAAACATTTACTCAGCTCTGCTGTATATTTTAAGGGAGTAAATGTAATAAAGGCCGGTCACGGTAGCCGAGCGGTCTAAGGCATGTGCTGTCTTTGCTCACTTGGAAACCGGGATCGTGGGTTCGAATCCCACTCAGGGCATGGATGTTTAGTTTGTGTGTGTGTGTGCATTTTTCTATGTTTGTATACAGGTAGAGGCCTTGCGACGAGCTGATCACCCACCCAAGGAGTCCTACCGAATGTGTAAGATCTAGAAAAACCGAAGTGAACGGAGAAGTTCATGGAGGTAGGCCTAGGCCCACTGGGGCTGTAGCGCCAAAGAAAAAAAATGTACTAAAGAGTTGTTTATTTTGCTAGATAACAGATGACCTATGAGACTAAAATTGGGAAATCCTGAACAATTTTGGTATTGTAATTGCTAATTACATTATATTGTATAGTTCAGTATTATTGTCTTCTGCATTCCTGTAACTATTTTTCTCTCATAGAACTCTTCTAGCTGTTCAACTGATCCCACTATATTTTAGTCTATACACAGTTCTGACATGCTTAACTTCTTATTTGATTGTGTTGTCTTTTGACCTCTTGTTTCATCAGAAGATTCTTCAGGTTCTCAGATTGCTCATTTTTCATGTTAATTGTAAGATATTACAGTTTGTAATGTGCTCATCTCATCTATTATCCTTCAGTATGCTAATTTAATAATGGCAGTGTTCTGCTCA